TTTTGAAACCCTAAACCCTAGAAGAAAGTTTGAACAAAATCAAATAATTGATGAGAGTAATAATCAAAATAGTTTTTGAAGCAACCCATAAAAAAGGAGGCAAGTATTGATATAAAGGGGTTTCACAATTTTTGTAGAACAAAATCTATTATTTTCTATATTCTTTTTTTGACAAAAATTAAAAGGTCCAGTAGTTAAATTAACAATAACATTATTGAAGTTGTTCTTATTTTGTCATTAAAATAGTACATTATTTGAGAACTACTCTTTATTATCAATTCTGATGCTTATGTGCTTATAAATTTGGTTTTTACTTATCCATGAACCTTCTTGTGAATAATTTATAATGTAAATTTTTTTTTTCCCTATATTGCAAAGTTTTATAATGATTATGTAAAATTTTGAATTTTTTTTGTATTTATAATGCTTATGTGCTTATAAGTTTGATTTTTTTTTCTCTGCATTTGAGAATTATTTTCTGTATTGAAAAGTTTTTGAAATAATTTAGTTTTTTTAATTTGTTTATTATTTAGGAAAATGAGCCGTAGCTCGAAAATCTTGGCTCGAAATTGGCTCGAATGTCGTTTTGGATGGTCTGAAATAGAGGAGAAAGAGGGAGAGAAGAGAGGAAGAAGAGAGGAGAAGAGAAAGATGAGGGGAAGAGGGAATGGAGAGAAGAGAGAGCCACTCCGCTTCTGCCGTCGGCCGAGCCCCTCTGCTTCGTCGCAGCACCAGCGATCGTCGCAGCACCACCGCCGTCGCCTCCGGTCCCGCCGAGCCCCTCCCCTTCCTCTTCTCCCCCTGTGGTTATGCCCCCTCCAGTCCTCCGCCTCCTTCTCCTCCTTCCTTCTCTTCTCCTTCTCTGCTTCTGAAATTGGATTCGAGCCAATTTCGAGCTCGACAATTCGAGCTACGTAACAGTTATTATTTCAATTTAGCTTGAAAGTAATTTGAAAAAAATAATAGGGTGTAATAAGAATAAAATAAAATTTTAAATAATTAAACAAATTGTACTTAAATATTAAGAGTACTTAATAATTTTTTGGGCGGTGATTGAGGGCCCGAAAGCCGTGCCCCGAATTGCCCGAAATTTCCATTTCAGGTAAAAAAAAAAAAAAAAAAGGAAAAAAGAAAGAAAAAAAGAGAACAGTTTCCAAAACTGGAAATTAGGGGTATTAGGGCCAATTTTTTTAGGGCCACCAATCATTTTCCTAATTTTTTTAATGTAATAAAATCCCCCATCCAAAAGCTGGACCCACTCATGACGTTCTTTTCCATCTCATGGGCCCCGAGCGGACATATATTGATTTTCCATTTTTTTTTAAATTTATGTTTTTTAACTTTAACTTTATAGGCATATTGCTTTATGGACGTTCATACTTTTGCATCTAAAAGTATATTAGTATAAGTAGCCGTGCTGTGCACGGTATAAATAAATAATTAAAAATTAATTTTTAAAATTAAATAATAATTTAAAAAAATTATCTACAATATTTAGCAAAAATAACTTAGAATCAATTAAATTTAATTTATTTTTATCCCAATTACATATAAGAGAATTGTTTTTTGAAAAAAGCTTGGAACTCCCACTGGGGAGACCCCGCACGAGGCCAGCCCCACTACCTTCCCTGCGGGATGATTCATCCACGTTGAGAGTCCATGAATGCGGGTCTTCTGTGTGTGTGGGGGGTGGTGGGGGTGGGGGGGGAGTGGGGGTCTCAATCAGGTCTCTTGTTTTTTATTCTTATGTCATTAATTATGTGCTCTAAGTTCTTAATAACAAATATATGTCATAATTTAAGTGGTAAAAATTAAAAAATAAATCACAAAAATTATATATATGGTAAAATATAAATACATTGTCTTATGAGTTTCGTAAATTTAATTTATCATATAATAGTGGTAAATTACATTTGTCAATATAGTAATTTTTTTATATTTTGTGAAGTTTAAAAATTATAATTTGTTTTATGTTATAAAATTTACGTAAAAATGAATTAGTATTCACTTGTGATTTTAAATTTGGGTTTAGGCCTCGTTTAGGAACTGTTTGTTTTAGTTTAAAAGTAAAAAAATTATTAAAAAAATTAAAAAGTCTATAACCTATACAAAAAAGTCAAAGATTCTATTTTCTCTCTACTTTTTGCATAACTTTTCGTAAAAAATCAAAAAGTCATTCCAAACATACTAGTTTTTTTAACCTCATATTTTTGCTAAAAAATCAAAAAGTTACTAAAATAACATGCCAAACGAGGCCTTAACATTAGATTTACGCCAACTTGTCATTCACCTAATCATTAAAAATTGTCTTGTTCTGTTCTCAACTTATATGAATCATTTGACCTATCTATTTATTAAATTAGTAAATAAATATTTATAAATATTTTTGTAATGAAAAAAATAAGAGATATGGACTTATTTTATGCATACTTATCAAAAAGTTTGAACTATAGTTTTTTATATTTATGTTTAAAACAATTAAATGAATATAATGTCTAAAAAAATTATTTAAGATAAACCCACCCTAAATTGTAGGTCATATTCTAGTTCTAATAAATTTAAATTTTGTATTTAAATTATATCATAGTTTATCAATTCGTGACTGATATGAACTAATTTGAAGGTTCTAATATTGGATTAAACACTAAAAAATAGCCAAGAAAATTTAACTTAAGTCGATTTTTTTTGTTAATAATTCTTGATTTAAGCCTAGTCCTTAGAGAATTGTTTAATTGATATCCAATCCATGAGTTAGTAGGCCCACCTATTTAAAAAATTTTAACTAGCATATCACCTGTGCTATGCACGGATTGTATTTACAATTATCTATATATATGAATTGTGATTTTTAAATGTCTTTTTTTTTTTAAATGTCTTCTCTTTTTTTTTCCTTTTTTTATATTATATTAAAATTTAATATTTTGATAATAATCATATGTGTTAGACTTTTCAAGAAATTAACTGTCTTTTTTTATTATATTATATTAAAGTTTAATATTTTGATAATAATCATATGTGTTGGACTTTTCAAGAATTTTTTTTTATGCTTGTTCTTAATGCATTAAAGTGTTATTATGAGGGATAATAATCAAATGTATTGGGACTTTTAAAAGAATTCATATATGTTGGATTTCAAAAAAAAAAATTATGCTTGTTCTTAATGCATTAAAGTGTTATTATGAGGGATAATAATCAAATGTATTGGGACTTTTAAAGGAATTCATATATGTTGGATTGTTGAACTTTTTAAGGAATTAAATGTCTTTTTTTTTATTATATTATATTAAAATTTAATATTTTGATAATAATCATATTTGTTGAACTTTTTAAGGAATTAAATGTCTTTTTTTTTATTATATTATATTAAAATTTAATATTTTGATAATAATCATATTTGTTGAACTTTTTAAGGAATTAAATGTCTTTTTTTTTATTATATTATATTAAAATTTAATATTTTGATAATAATCATATTTGTTGAACTTTTTAAGGAATTAAATGTCTTTTTTTTTATTATATTATATTAAAATTTAATATTTTGATAATAATCATATTTGTTGAACTTTTTAAGGAATTAAATGTCTTTTTTTTTATTATATTATATTAAAATTTAATATTTTGATAATAATCATATGTGGTGGACTTTTCAAGAATTTTTTTTTATATTTGTTCTTAATGCATTAAAATATTATTATGAGAGATAATAATTATATGTGTTGGGACTTTTTAATGAATTCATATGTGTTGAATTTCAAAGAATTTTTTTTATACTTGTTCTTAATGCATTAAAGTATTATTATGAGGATAAGACTTGGGAGTTAGGAGATGTTAATAAATGCTAAAAAAAAAAAAATTTAATCAAAAAATCAAGTAATTTAGATTAAGAGATTGAAACTCCCACAAGTCTTGGGGTTAAAAAACCACTTTTGCTTAATATATAGTATAGATTTGTTTTCCAAATTTGATACTCAATCTATTTTGCGTAAGATCGTTTTTCTTGAACTTCGGTTTACCGGTAAGAACGTTTTTCTTGAACTTTTGTTTACCAATGAGATTCTTATCGTAGCAATGTACAACTTTTCTTTCTTACTCCTTTCCTACTGATTTTATAAAATAAAATAAATTGACCACAAAAACATAAATGACTTTCAATATATACATGATCCAATATTTAAATTTCCTCTTAAATCTTGCCTTGGTTTTTCTAAATAATAATTCAACAAACTTGTCAAATAGCCCCAAGAAGTTAATTTGACAATGATGATGATCGGCATTGCTTTGAAGCACATGAAAAAGGGAGCACCATCATCAATCAGTGACTGCATACAAAGGGAATCACCAATCTTCTTGACTACACATCCACCACAGGTGCCATTGTGTTTCACTAGAGGACTTGCCCTCCAGCTAGTGAGCCGGGAGATACGCATCCACAGCGTAACTCCCGACCCGATCTCAAGGCCACTCATCCCGGCGTCATTCAACAAAAAAGAATGTGAAAACATAAATTGAAAATTTGGCCTAGAGCCTCTTGATTCGGATTCTTTACTTCACATCACCACAAAGTAAAAAAATAAGAAAAATCACATGAATATCAGCCGATACATACTGGGTATTGTTTCCATATTAGGGAGAATCAGCCAATGCTCATTATAAATCACCATTTATGCACTGTGTGGTTTAGTTTTGTTTGTTTTTCTTTCTTCACTTGGTTCACAACTTTCACATATCCACCAACCCACATTTTGTTGTTCTATGTTAGTGTCTTATATATAGATCATATTCATATAGTAGAGTTGAAGATATCAAGATATTGATATACAGATAACTAATTAAACATCTATTGAAAACCTGGAAAACATACAATTTTACAGTTATTTCAAAACAACAGGAAGCAGCATGTTTGGTTGTGTTTCTGTTTTTGTTTTTCACATTGTCAGATATAAAAAGTTCAAAAACAAGAAAACAATACCTACTGTTTTCATTTTTGTGCAAAAAAGAGGTCTGAAAATTCAAAACAATTTTTTGATATTTCCTAAAAAGTGGATTGTTTTCAGAACCTTTTCTTGAAAACAGTTTACTAAAACAGGCTTAGGATCTCAAGTAACAGTTAATATTCCAGGGACTTTCACGAGAGAAAAAAATGTGTAGATGCAAGATAAAAACAACAATTGCATTAATCTACAGAGAGCAATAATTAACGGAACACGTTGAATGAAAGCTTAAATCTTCATATCATTATTCGACATTGCAGAAGCCGAACCTTACTTTGAGCAATGGTTGCTCCTGGCAAAATCAGGACGAAGAGTCAAAGCAAATCTGAACACCTTTCACGCCAATTCCAGCAATCAAACATTGGAATCCACAACCCTCAAGCTCCGCAATAACTTTATCAACAACTGTTCCAGATAATACTGATACGAGTAGTCAAGGGCACATTGAGACAGATAATGTTGCACATATGGATTCGAGAATTAAATTATGAACTAAAATGTAAGAGTTCAAGACTTTAATATAGAAAACTTTCCTCTTATACCTATGGATTCCTAAATCCTACAGGCAGATAAATTACTTATGCTTGTTCACACTTTTTCTTTTAGACTTCTGCTATGACGAGTGAAACACAAGCATGAAAGTCATCAAATTGAATCAGGAAATATATGTTATACATATGTTTGTAGAGCTCAATTCCACATATTCTTCATTTTGATTCTAATACTGTTTCTCAAAATTCAAGGATGAGAAAAGGCTCAAATTTCTAGTCAAGGAAATAATCTGCGGTTAATATCCCCATGGTGCATGTTAGATTTTTACAAGTCTAACCTTTCTACTTTAAACTTTGAATCTAATTAATCCGTTCCTACTTTATGGATGAGAGTCAAATTAAATCATGAAATAATATGTGTGTGTGTGTTTATAGAGCCCAATTCCACATATTCTTCATTTTTTTATTCTGATCCTATTTCTCAACTAATGCGACGTGCATACAGATGTGAGGAGTCATGAATACATTTAAAAGAAGCAAAAGAGCATCTAAAGAATTTCAAAGCATGTTAGAGTCAGATAAAGAATAAGTGAGATAGAAATGCTAAAATCATTTGCAAGTTAAAGAGCACAATTCATAAGAAGAAAAATGAAATGGATACGGGTTGGTAATAGTGTGAGAACACAGCCTCCACCACCAGCTCCTGTCAACTTGGAAGCCAATTTGAATTTCAACGTTGTTCGAAGCACAGTTTCTATTGAAGCATGGCTTACACCCATACATTGGAGCAACCCTTGATTCATTTCCATTAGTTCTTCTAGTTTATCTTCTTTCTCAGTTATGGCAATGTCATCATGAGCAGGTGATTGAATAATCGTAGCCACTTCATTGCTGATAGAATCAACAGCTTTAAACACGGAAGCCATTGCAATTGGGTGACTGAATGTCCTCTCTGAAACACTAGCAACCAAAGCTTTTGTGTTCCTCCCGACTTTTGTGTTAGTAATGAGCATCTTAAGTGGCATATTGGACCTGAGACGTGTCAACTCCCCTGACCTAAACTTGATCATGTTGCCTGTTACAGAAACTCCATCACTTATCCAAATTCTGAGCCCTTCTCAGATTAAATAAGTTGAAAAGATAAACGCCGTACAATGACATTAAAATAATGTCAAGAAGTGTGTAAATATAGAAGTTAGGCATTGATGCTCTACCAATAGAATATTACTACAACCACCAAAAAATTCTTATTATGTTGTAAATCATTTTCTCATAGGGAGTGGGCAAGTGGAGTATAACCAAAAGAAATAAAATAACTTGACCAGGAGGAGAGCTTATGAGATTGAAATTTACGTCTAGGGAGTTTTATCAATTAGTTGGAATTGTCTGTCTAGGAAATTTTGTCAATCAGTTCTTAGATTAGTTGTTGCACTTTTCCCGTTCTTGTTCTTTCTTCTCTAAAGAACTATTTCTCCCACTTTTTTCTTTACTTCAAAAGACAAAAGTTGCTCATCATGAAAATGGCAGATAATTTACTAGAATGTCATAAATAAATTACAAATCCTTACACAATTCTCAAATTACAGAATGTCAAAAAAAAATTAAAAAAGAAGACATTGTTTCTGATTGGGGTGAAAAAAGAAAAAATGAGACATTGTATACCTCTACTCCTTAACAACATACAATGCATTACTTTTCTCCCAATAAACTCATTGGAAACTTTTTGGCTGAAAATTTCTGAAATCATTAAACAAATTCCTTGCTATCTTCATGACTCCACAGTATTTTCCCACTAATATATATAGATTCTAAATTGTGAATGGCATTGATTGCTCTCAAAACCCAGTCATTTCTTAAAAAATAAAAAGATGAATTAGAGGTGCTTTCCTTAAATGTAAAGAAGTTGCGTCTACCAATTGATATGAAATATCACATACCGTATGTGCTTACTGTGTTGTCAATACCAGATGGCTTCCCATGGATTATCTTTTCACCTTCAAAAGCCCATTTGTTCACCAAGTCCAGTTCATTCTCTCCAAACATCAGCCAACCCTGATGGCTGCAATCTAGATTCACAGAATCTGACAAAGCAAGCAGGGCAGCACAGAGTGACACACACAATGCAGAAGATGAACCCAAACCTGAGCTAAGTGGGAGCTCCGAAGTGACAACCACCTTTGCGGGTTTATAACTGAAACATACAATTAAGTCAAGTCAGAATTTTGAACGTTAAAAGGGCAAGGTTGTAACTGGAAATCAATATCAGACACACCCTTGGATGGAGGTGTATAGCCAGAGAAATGCAGACACTCCAGCAGCAAGCGTAATGTTTGCCTCCGGAATATTATGTTCTTTAACTAGAGTTGCAATTAATTTAATAGTCTCTGATGAGCATGATTTGGGTGATGATGAATCGTTACTACCAATTTTGGACAGTGCTGCTTTAATTCTTCCAACTGGCCAAGAAAACTCTAAGTCCATATCCTTGAAATGGAGCTTAAGTTTATCGTCATTATCTACGCAAAGAAGATAATACAATGAGAAATCCGGTCAATAAAAACCCTACAAGAACCACATCAATTACTCTGAAAATAGAAGCCCATGGATTATGATGAAAACCATGTTGATTTACTACATTTTCAACTCTTACTGTCAATAGAAGCAGAAGCTGAGTGGTAGATAAAAATTGCTCAAAACTTGTATCACTGTCTACAAACCAAACCCAAGTACTCATCTCTTGCACATGAAATATTATGCGATTGAGTACTGTTTCTTTAGAATAATTTTTCCACAAACAAATAAAATATATAGAATTTACATACTGTAAGTTAGTAACTCAGATAAATCCTTAGCATGGTTGATATCTTCATGTAACAGTATTGGCCAATTGTGCTAGCCCCAATTGGTTTGGGAAGCCTTTTTTTTTATATATTTCTAATTGCCAAGTTAACGTACATTTATTTTCAAATCATAACATTTACAAATTGGATAGCAAAAGCCAGGATCAAACTTGTTTTCAAATGAATGCTAAAATCCGTTCTGTATTAAGCATTGATGGAAGACAAAAATAAAATCAAAGAGACCTTGTAGCTGATAATTATTGGTGTTGACACCACTTCTACAATAGGCAGATTCTCATAAAAGGATTCAGACCCTGACCTTGCCCTGCATTTTCTAAGGCTTAATTAGTTTAGTTGGTAGTTAAGCAAAAAAGCTTGGTGAAATTTCTGAGTCATCAAATTGGTTTTTCTTTTCTATAAAAAATAAATAAAAACTTATTCCAACAGCCGAAAGACTCAGATAGAAAACTATTATCAATCCAATGGAAAAAGGGTTTGCCCAGTTTCTACATTCAATGTCATGACATCAAAGAACACCATTTTCCCCATATCATCATCCCTAAATTAAACCCAACAACCGAAAAAAATTTATAAAAAAATGGCAAAATTTTTACAAAATTCAATTTTCAATTCAAAATTAACAATCGGAGACATCAAATAAATAATTAAACCAATCACTTCTTGTGCGAATCTTCAAAACAACTCAGATATCATCACAAAACCTCAAAAGGGCATGTTTTTAAATTTTGTTAGCAAAAAGAAATAATGAAGCTCAGTCCAGTGAATTCAGCAAGAACAAGCACAGCAAAAACGTTGGAAAATAATGAATTACCGGAATGAGTGGGAAAGCTGAGAGAGACGTAAGTGTAGAGATCGATGGAGGCCGCCACCGCCGTAGATCCGTGAACGACGGCGTGCTCTCCGGCCAGAATTATTTTCCCGGGAGCTCGAGCTCTCACCTCCATTCTCTCTCTCTCTCTCCCTCCCTCCCTGTTTATTCAACTGTTTCCTCTACGCTTCCCTATGTGTGCATGTGTATATATGGTCAAATTTTCTTAAGAGAAAATAATTGGGAAATGAGAAATTAAAGTGTAAATCAAGGGAATTAAAGTGAGAATTGTGTAAAGTTTTTTTTTAACCAATTTATAATTATTGGGTTTATTTATTTGAATCTTTTCCATTTTCTATACCAAAATTGAAAAATTATGGTAATTTTTACAGATTTAACCAAATTATATTGATATCTATTGTTGTGACCGAATTGATAGATAGATACACAAAAAATCAAGTGTAAAATATGTATTTAAGTTTTCGTTTGGCAAGATGATTGGGACTAATTTAACTCACTAAAAATATAAAATATGTTAAAAAATTAATAAGATAAAATGTCATATTAAAATCATAATCATTTCATTTTTTATCTAATTAAATTATAAAAAAAGTCAAAAATTTACTTTAAATAACTTTTTTAGTCCAGTCAAAAAATCACACTAAAAAAATTCTTCTCAAACGTAGCCTAACTATGAAAGAAATATGATAAATATTTTTTCTATTCATTTTACTAACCAATGGCGGATGAAATGAATTAAATTTTAGGAGAGTACAATACATATATCAAACATAAAAATTATAAAAAAAAAAAAAAATTGTTCTGTTCTTTTAACGAATCAATGAAGAATTAAAATGGGATCTATCTATATATTATATAAGTAAAATGAGAATTTTCAGTGATAAATTTTATGAGAGTTTTAATATTTCATATTAATTTTTTTAATTTTAAACAATTAAGAAAATTTTCATTGATTAGCTTTCATTTAATCATATAAAAATGAAATTCTAATTAATTTATGATTTATTTAATAATCCCACGTTAGAAAAAGAAACAAAAAAGTAAGTAATTTTACTTATATAAAATGAATTTTATACTCCTATTTAATATTATAGTGTTCTACATATTTCAATTTAATATAATTTAAATTTTAAAATAAAATTTAAAAGTTTTAATTAATTAATTTTTATATAAGTTAATTAGTCTTTTAACCTGACTGATTAGACTGAATCATTTTTTGTTTAAATGATTCATTGGATTAATTTGAAATAGACTAAAGATTAATCTAATTAAAAATTGAAGGGTAATTTACACACAAATTTTAATTTATGAACTTATACTCCATTAAATCCTAACTGAGATTTTTTAGACTTTCAATTCTCATTAAATTTTTAATAATCAGAATTACCTTTCCATCAATGATTATTCATCATTTATGTTTTTGTATAAAAGAACATGATGATTTGACATTTATTTTGATTTTCAAAACTTTAAAATTTTAACTTTTAAATTGAAAAAAACTATAAAAAAAAAATTATGTGCAAAAAACAAAAACTAATTTTTTTGAAAAAATTGAATTATTTTTTGTATAAAACTGAAAATTTTATGTCTATAAGTGAGAATGATGATGGAACATTAATGTGCAAAACTAAAAAAAAAAAAACATTCAAAAATGAAAAAATTGATAATGTTTTCAATTTTAAAACTAAAAAAAATAAAAAATAAAAAAAAATTGATAATGTTCTCCATTTTATTAGATAGTTGAATCAAACCAATAAGTATAAGGGCAAACATGTTTAATCTCATACTTTTTTTTTCGTTAGTTAGTAAAACAATTATCTGAAACATTACTATGCAAAATTAATAATGTTTTAAATTTTAAAAATTGGCAAAAAATGATAGTATTCTTAGTTTTATTAAATATGACTTATTGGTATAAAAAACCTTAAATAAGACATGAGCTACTATAATATTTGTAAATAAGACTTTTAGGTAATTAACTCAAAATTGAATGACTAAGATTGCTGGATTAAAAATACACTTCCTGCTCAAACAATTGTTAAATTTTATTTTATAATTTCACATCGGAAAAAGAAGGAAAAAGTGAGTTATTTCACTTATATAAAGTGAACCTTATAATCTAATTTAATATTATAATGTTGCGCATGTTTCAAATTAAAACAATTTAAATTTTAAAATTAAAATAACATTTAAAAGTTCTAATAATTTTTGATTGGTTGATTTTTTGACCTAACCGAGTAAGTTAAACCGTTTTCAGTTTGACTACCGCGATTTTGATTTTCTTAATTTTACTTGTTAGCTTTCATTTAACCATATAAACATAAAACTCTAATTAGTATATAATTTTCATATGGAAAGAAAAAAGAAAAAGTAAGTTGTTTCACTTATATAAAATGAATAAAACAATTTAAATTTTAAAATTAAAATAACATTTAAAAGTTCTAATAATTTTTGATTGGTTGATTTTTTGACCTAACCGAGTAAGTTAAACCGTTTTCAGTTTGACTACCGCGATTTTGATTTTCTTAATTTTACTTGTTAGCTTTCATTTAACCATATAAAAATAAAACTCTAATTAGTATATGATTTTCATATCGGGAGAAAAAAGAAAAAGTAAGTTGTTTCACTTATATAAAATGAATCTTATATTCTCATTTAGAGCATCTCCAATACACTAGGCATATAATACTTATTAGTTAAAATGCCTAGTGTGATTCACTTTTTTCAATTCCAATGCACTAGGCATATGATTAGGCATTTTGCCTCAGCTCATATTCACTAGCTACATGTAGCTAGCCTTCAACGCTAGGCAAAATGTATTCAATCATTAGGATCATTTCCCTCCATCTTTGTTGTTGACGTGGCATTCTATAAAATTAATAGTTTTGGATAAATAGCTAAAATAAAGAGCATGGTTGGAGTAAAAACATAAAACAGTCGATAGGCAAAATAAAATATATACTTTATAGTAATATTTAGATAGGTAAAATGCCTACTACCGTTGGAGATGCTCTTAGTCTTGGTTTGGCAAACATATTGGGAGCACATAAGGACAAAAAAAATCACAAAATCACAAAACACTTGACTCTTGATACAAAATTATCAAATTGGCCCATATACAAACAAAAAGTCAAAAAAGCATCATTTCCAAGTGGAGGGCAATTTTGTCATTCCAATGCAAAAAGTCAAAAAAGTCAAACAAGAATACCAAACGAAAGGCTAAAAAAGTCAAAAAAGTCAAAAAGTCAGGTTTGCCAAACGACACCTTAATATTATAGTATTGTGCACAGTCAAAACAATTTAAATTTTAAAATAAAAACTCTAGTTAGTCTATGATTTTTTTTATAATCTCGCATCGAGAAAAGAAAAAAAAAACGAGGTGTTTCACTTCTATAAAGTGAATCTTATACTCTCATTTAATATTGTAATATTGTGCATATTTTTATTCAAAACAATTTAAATTTTAAAATAAAATTTGAAAGTTTTAATTAATTAATTTTTGTATAAGTTGGTTGATCTTTTGATTTAGCCAATTATACTGAATCATTCGTGGGTTTAACTATGATTTTAGTGGCTTTATCAAAATATATTGGTTAAATTTATTTGATTTGAAATAAACTAAAAATTGATTTAATTAAAAATTGAACGAGTAAGATTGCTTGATTAGAAATAAATTTCTTACCCAAATAATTGTTAACTTTTATTTTATAATTTCATATCGGGAAAAGAATGAAAAAGTGAGTTATTTTCACTTATATAAAATGAACTTTATGCTCCTATTTATTATTGTCGTTGTTCATATTTTAATTCAAGACAGTTTAAATTTTAAAATAATATTTAAAAGTTTTAATTAATTAATTTTTGTATAAATTGGTTGATCTTTTGACTTAATTGATTAGGCTGAACCATTTTCGGATTGCCTGGTTTGCTGGTTTAATCGCGATCTTAGAAGTCTTATTAAAATATATTGATTAGATTTGTTTGATTAAAAAAAACTAAAATTGACCTAATTAAAGATTAAATGACTGATATTGTTTGATTCGTAATAAACTTTCCCCTGAACAATTGTTAATTTTTAATTTTCACAATCCCACATCGGGAAAAGAAAAAAAAAAGTGAATTGTTTCACTTATATAAATTAAAGCTATATTCCTATTTAATATTATAGTGTTGTGCATGTTTCAGTTGAAGATAATTTAAATTTTAAAATAAAATAAAATTTTAATGTTTCAATTAATTAATTTTTGTGTAAGTTAGTTGGTCTTTTGATCGATTTTAACAATTTTATCAAAATATGTATATTGTTTTATTTCTAAAGATATGTTTAAGTTTTATGACAAACTTTAATATAGAATAAAATAAAATTAAAAAAATTATTTTTATTTTATCATATATATAATTTTTTTTTTAATTATTCTATTTTTTTCATCTTTACCAATTAAATTATGACATCTATTTCTTATTGTGAATTTAGAATACACAATTAATGACATAACAATTGTAATATCTATTCTAATAAAATGATTAAAATTTAACTTATTCTAAATTATTTTCCTATACTTTTTAAATAAATTTTATATTATTATTTAATTTTAAAATTATTTTTAATTATTTATTTAACCTGTGCATTGCACAGGTTCATATACTAGTAATATAATAATATGTATTTTTTTTTGTTCGTTTGCCTAACTCATCTTTGCTTGCATGCACACATGGGTAAAATCAAAGACTCTGTTTAAATTAATTTTTGAAACGAGATTTGAGTTTTGAGTTGTGTTTTAAAAGATAAATTTTTGAAATAAGATTTGAATTGAGAAAATTTATTTGATTATGAGTTTTATAAAGAGTATTGAATTTTGGGTTATATTTTCAAATTATTTTGGGTTTATTTTTAAAAAAAAAATTTAAAATTTCTTATTTTTATTTTTGTAGGGTAAATATTTTTTTATTGTAAATATTTTTTTATTTATTTTAATGTACACTGTATTTACTACATTTGTGCACTGTATTTTTTTTAAAATATTTTAAAATAATTTTGAAGAAGAAAATTTAAAAAATATTTTTTCTGATTTTTTTTTAAAAAAAAAAATTTGGTAAAAGTTTTGTTATGTGTTTTGAAAATTTTAGTTGATTATGAGTTTTCAAATTTTTTGATCTAAATTATGATTTAAAAATCAAACCAAACGCTACCAAAATTTTATTCAAGTAGTCAATTATCAAAACAAATTGTTGAATTAAGTCAATGGAAAACATAAAATTTAATTTATTGAAAAAATCAATTATTAGTATTTTAAATGCTAAGGCAAATTATAGTCTTTATTCCAATATTTCGGGTAAGAATTTATTATTAGGGTCAAAAGCAACATATTTTTTGGTCCTACATTCATTTGAATGAACATTTTTTTTAATTTAAAAAAATGTGCTACTTCACCTACCTACCATGCCTCGTTGATCATGTCTATCGTGGACCCATTAACTTTTGGGTTACCGGTATTAAAAATAAAAAATAAATAGTTGTGAATATTTTAGAGAAATAATTATAAAAAAATATATGAATATAAAATAATTACAAAGTAATAAAAGTATGAATATAAAATAATTACAAAGTAATAAAAGTATAAGTGATTTTTGCATTGTATTTTCATCAGTTTATAATTATTTTGTGTTAATATTAATTTTTTTACAATTGTCCATATTTTATAAGTTAGTAGTTAAAAAATGAATTAGTAACATTAGTGTATACTGCAACATCAACAATACTTTTTATTTATAAAATTTGTTTCTCCATGTACGACTTTCCAAATATAACTAGTCAAGAGAGGATGAGACAAAATACCTATTATGTTGCCTATTTTGTTAAAGCTCCATTATGTGACAAGATTAAGAAAAATATTTAAAATAATTTAAATGCCTCTCCTACTGGGATGCTCTAACTTCAAAAACCGTTAAAAATTTATGTAGCTTTTATTTTATTTTTATTTTTTGTGACAAACAATAGGATGCAAGAAAGTTAGTAATCAAATTATAATGAAAAAGTCATAAGTCTCTCTATCGAATCAAATTTTGAATTATCTGACATTCTCACTGTCTCAAAAAACAGTTTTATAAGGTGATGATATGACCCAAATAAATCAATAAGTCAATAAACAGCTTATAAGCTACATTTCCAAATTAATTTTTTAGTTTAACTCAATGGTAAAGCTTAGTGACCCTGATTATTATAATCTTGAACTTGTAACATGTTATGATGTTGGACTTTCTTGTGAATGTACACTAAATTTTCATAATATTGGTAAATTATGATCCCATTTGGTGCAACTGTTAAAACAGATTATAAATTATGACTTAACAGATTATAAATTATGACTTTAATCATAAGCTGATAATCTGTTTGATGAAATTGTTGGATTATAAATTTAAGTTAGTGAGTAGCGTTTATTAAATAAGCTATAAAGTCGATTTTTCAATTAACTTTTATATTTTTTGTTATTCACTACTTGTTTACATTTTTCATAAAAAAAATAATAATAATAATCTATAGTCCATTTGGGTTTTTTTTCTATTTTTAAAAAAATTAAAAATAAAAAAATCTAAAAGTATATCTGTAAATTAATATATTCACAGCAGAAATTGATAATCAGAAGCAATGGGTAAACAACTTTTCAGAATCAGCTTTTTTTAATTAAAATAAGTTGTTAAAATTAAAAACTGCTCAAAATAAGTTTAAGCAAATAGTCTAAAATAGCTATTCAAAAGTTAGAAGTTACAAATTAGCTCAAAAAAACCCAAACAAACACCCCGTATAAGCCCAAAAGTCACTTACTGCCATTAAATATTAAATATTAGGACAATTTATACATATGTGAATTTGGGTAGAAAACTAGGGTGGCTCTTTTGCCAGCCATCCATGTAAGGCCTTGACTTGAAACTTTGAAACTTGACAAAGATTTGCCCACAAACTTTGAACGTCAACTTGTTTGGGAAAGCTAAGCCAAAGGTATAGGTGAGGTGAAAAGGTTGACTGAACTTCAACTTGTTTGTATTAGGGGAGAAAATTTTAAATTAGTAGCTTAAGAATGCAAAATCTTATCACTGGAATAATCAACCATTAGCCACATTTAATTGGCTTCAACACAAGTTCTAGCATTAAACCTGTGCAATGAGATATAAAAATTTGGAAAGTAACATAGTTCTAATTAAAGGTGCAAGTGTTTTAGTTAGGTCAGAGTCGAAGAAAAATTTAGCAGTGAATCTAATATAAAAATTTTGTTAGTTGATAAACAGAAACATATCACATGTTGCGGTTTAGTTTTGTCAATTTTTGAAGAGGATTGATTTGCATGAGATTTTAAAGGGTTTTATATAAACTCATAAAAATTTACATTGGAAAAAAAAAATGGTTAAAGTTATTAAATAATGCCTTATTCCCTAACTTTTATTACAAAACGCATATTATTAATCACTTATTTTCTAATGTTCAAAGAATTAAAATATAAAAATATTTAAATATAATCTTTCAGTCTGTTTAATTCATATGGATGTAAAAAATTTCAAAACTAAAATCGATACAGGCTATGAAAAGTAGACCAAAAATTAAGATTTAAATTGGTCATAAGCAATCGATTAAGTTCCATCAATTTTTCTTACCTTAGTTTTGACCATTGGAGTGGAATGAGGTTTTATCTTGACTTTGTGTTCAGGTCAAAGACTGTAATTTAAAATAAAAAATAAAAACATATATGTATAAAATAGAAAATTTAAAGTCAACTAAATGCTGCTAATAATTTGGGATTTGTAGATATATAATAATGGTTCTCAATTCCACCAAAGCTTGCCAAGGGGGCGGCTCATTCTCAAAGATTTGAAATCCTTCTTATTATAAATAGTATTAGTTAATATAATATAATATTTTAAAATCATATAAATTTGTACCAATTAAAGTTTTTTTAAAAAAATAATATTAGGGTATCGTAGAGTTTAGAGTACAGTTTTATTTTTTATGTGGTTGATTCTTCAGCAGAGCTATTGTTCTTTTCTTGGTGTTAATTCCCCATTAAACCCAATGCAAAACTAGTTCTAAATTATCTTTCGCAACCAAACATGGCATTGGTGACTTTGTAGGTTTTCCCACCTGAACGAGCTCACTGAAATGAGATAATATAGTGTTCTATACAAAAACACATACAAAGCTTGCATTGTGGTGTCTTAATTTTTCAGAACAATAAAATATTTCCCACATTGCCGAAATATCGCCTGAATTCCAAAGGTTTCCATTTCCAGTGCCAATATTTTGCAAAAATTTGAGGTTGTGAATTTTAACTGTCAAGGAAATCATTGAGATCACTAACCAATTGAACATCTTGCTGGCTTCTGAACCAAGTCCATCGGGTTGGAGTTCCATAATTCTTGAGAACAATGGAAGCTTGTTGAGTTCCAAACCACCTAAAGAAAGGAATGATCAAGAGAGGGAAGCCAAGCAGAGAACCTATTGAATCCTGGGTCATGTTATAATACACACCCTCAAAAGGATGTGTACCATATGTGAGTTCCACCAATGTCATAACTGAATCCTTTTCAGTCATAACTAAAAAATTAATGAATCATAACCAAACATCACATAAGCTATTAAAGACATTTTCGATCATAATCAAAATAATAATTATTCAAAATAATGACTACAATAAGGCATAACCAACCTCATGATGAGTCACAATTAACACTATACTAAGTCATAACCAACACCATAATATGTCATTACTAAATACCATAGTATCATAACTAGGGCATATGGGGTGTGTAGCATAGGTTTTCCCTGCGAATCCTATTTTTATATATTGAAGCACTGAAGAGATAAAACCTATATTAACATGTCACCAACTTCAGTAACTCTATTCTTGAATGATTTCAATTTGTTTTTTGAGAGTTTCATAAAGTGTCTCAACAAGATTTAGCAGGAACCCATCTGATCCGTGTTTTGCCAACAAGGAAACTTCCACGGGAAGATTATTGTGCGTCCCTAGTGGTATGCTCACCTGTGGATTTGACCAGTTCCCAAAACGAATTTTGTCGTAGTCAAGAACATTATAAATAAAATCATGTCACGCACACGCACACGCACACGCACAGAGAGAGGGAGAGAGAGAGAGGGGACCTGGCAAAAGCCCGAAACTCCAGCAACAGCCAACAAGCTAAAAGCCCCGACACGAAACGTTTCCAGCGTAGTCGGCTCTGTCTGTAACTTCGGTGGAGGGCCAGGAGTTGTGGGGATTGCTAAAATACCAAAATCCTGCATAATTAATTCATAAAGAGTATAATAATGAGGGAAAGATTAGGAAAATAAATTGTCTTCTACTTTGTTGTTTGAATTTTAGTAGGGATTTGTGGAAAGAAATTGCAAGAAAAGGAAGACAAAAATTTAGCTTCTATTTTCATCACTTTTCCCTTACATTGTCATTTTCCTTCATAAATCCCTACACAAATCCTTAATCCAAACACAACCTTGAGATGCTTGACATTTATCCCAAGAAGATCATTTTTTAATCTAGACAGTAGATATGGCAAGACTGAAGTCATGAAAGTGATAAAATCATCATGAATGTAACACATTTCTATCCAATTATTCACACTACCCCAATTACAAATGGATATTGAACAGATCGAATCATCTTTTCACCTTACAGATTAAAGAGAACATGACTAAAATGTATGCGAGGGTAAACAATACAACCTTCAAGTGCATATAACGGACTGGCAAAACTTGAAAGTAAGCTATTAAGATTATAGTTTTTTTAGATTATTGCCATAAAATGCTTTGAATAGGTTGTAGAAGTGTTTGTTGCAACACTTTGGATAACATGTTAAAAAGCTGAAAGTGTTTGGCAAATAATCCAAAAGGTAGTTTTTGAAGCGTTGAGTCCAAAAAGCCCAAAGCATTTTCAAACCTAATTATTTTAAAAGGGGTACAAACGTAATCATGAAAATATTGAGGCCCTATTGTCCAACGTCCAAAAGTTAGAGTTAAGCTAGAAAAACACCCACTGGGTAGCTTAGAGTATCTGTGTTAACCAAGGCATTTGCCAGTGTATTGGCCTATCGGTCCTATCTATACACAAAATCAAAGCTACTAATAATCTGAATGATTCATCTAATAGATATGTATCAAATGCACGATAATTTGCTTCCAAGACACACACACACACAGAGGTTACCCCTAGGAGAGCAGTGAGAGCAGCACGCAGTTCAGTCTTCACAGAGGTGCAGACATCAATATTTTCATCTGTTGACCTCACCGCTTCCCACACACGTTCGGATATACCGGGTCCTAAATCAGGTTTGACTGTACTTACCCACTCACCATGATTATTCTTGAATTCGTGCCTATGCTTCAAAGGGAATTGAATTGAAGAGTCAATATTTGGATGAAAATGGTCTTATTCAAACCACAAATTCTATTACACAAAATCCCCGCAAAGATTTTGTTCATGATCTGCACCTTTGAAGCTGCCTCAGTGCACTTGAGAGGGCTACCAAGGATGCGACATTATATTCTTGATTTTCATGTCCTTTGACCATGAAATGCTTCAAAGTTGGAACGCTGTCCTTAACATAGTCCCCGAGGCTTGCATACTTTATAATGTGACCTGCATCACTAACTACATATGGTGAATCTCATTAAGAAAAAATAGATCAATATGAATGTTGAAGATAACTCTGTCTGTGTTGAGCATAATGTTTTATCTTTTTATACAACTGGTCCCACACCACAATAAGGAGAATTTTGTGTTAGGTAGCCTGACAACTGTCATGTACAAATCTCAATCAGATCCCTTACGAACATGAATCTGAATATGCATATGTGAGTGTGAGCTAGCGGGCATACTGAGCATATAGCCCTTGACAGAGCGGAATGACTAAAAAAGGATTCATGTGACTAACACCACCTGATTGGGACACAAGGCATAGTTTGGTTTGGTTTATGACTGTCGAAGATGAATTTTCAATGTGTCAAACTTTAGAACTAGCTAATCTCCTAACGAATTACGTATTGGCACACACATTTCGAAAGATTGTACACTTCAATTCTAAAACGATAAATTTTGTGATCCAAAACGATCCCAAAAGTTTTTCCAATATATTTCCTTAAATGTTACCTTAGGAGCGAAAAAAATCAAATATAATGAATTAAAATCTAAGGTGAGTTAAGTTTTTTTTTTTTTTTTTTTGTGGTGAATAAGGTGAGTTACGTTTTGACAAGACAAAAACATCAAAAATAAAAATAAAAAACTACATTTTATTAGATATCTAATAGTTAAAAGAAAATTACTCTAGAAATATCTCAAATTCTGTAATATATACAAGTCTATCCCTATTGTACCATATTTTAGAACATGTAGTGTATTACGTTTGCGTTCCCATTCCCGTTCCCGTTCCCGTTCCATGTACCGAAACGATTCACATTCCAGGTAACATTGTGTTAGACAACATCAATTTTTTTTATTAGTTACGATAAATTTTGTTGGTCAACGATTTCCATGATCCTATAATTAACCCATTTTAAGGGGTGGATTACATGAAATGGATATCTACATGGAATCTATGTACTCATGTAGAAACTCCAAATGTACTATTAGTACTTCAGCAGCATAGTGAAACAGCAAACCCACTTACAGCCAAATAATTGCTCCACTGATTTAACAAGAACTGTAGTTACTCGATCACTTGGGATGCTTAGAAGCTGGAAACAATCTTCTGGAATAATAATATGGCTAGGTTTCACAGGTTCCACAATAGGCAACTGTAGTAAAACCCGCCCAACTCGGTTCAAGATCTCTGCATCCCTAGCAAACCATCCTGGATAACAAGTGCAGCCAAAGAATGAGTTGCTGATTAAAAACACTACAAGGTACAAATTTCTTATTCATGACAACTATAAACTTATCAGAAAATAAACTTACGCAGATATAGGAATGAGTTGCTGATTAATTACGAAGATATAGGAATGCCACCTTGGTCCCCGCAAAAACTTAATTACGGGGTGGGGGAGGAACTTAGAAGTTTATAGATAGTCTTACTTGCAACACATTTTTTATGACATGATATTGTCCTATGTTACATGGACTCGGGTACGGGTGCATGTCCAAGCGTCAGATCTTCGTAAACCTAAATCTTAGGATATTGGGATATGCATTCAAAGTTGGGTATGGGTACAAGGACATGTCTTAAAGCTAGAAATGTTTATTTACTAGCAAATTTGAGTGTCTTCTTATTCAAACATCACATAAAATTTGAGGATCCAAGTAGGTACCAGTGTCGGACACATATCTCACTCTTACCCTTGTCATATCCAGTGGACAGAGGTAAACTAGCAGCAGTAGAAGAGTCCATGTAACATAGATTTGGTCAAATTCAAGATAACTGGTAAGCTTCAAGACAACCAAGATATTAGCAATGATATTCTTTTACTTCCTGTCCAGCTAGGGGCTTGGGAGTAGTCATTTTAATTCGAAATAACATGCAGAATGCATTCAAATCAATGAAGTCACAAGTTGGATGCAGTGATCTGACAAATGGTTATTTTGGTAGAAATTGTAATAGGAAGAGAATGTCTTGTGACATTTTAGATTATAGTTTTCACAAGAAATCATTGAGAAGTTCACTTCTTGGGTCAAAAGATACTTGAATACTTTCAACATTCACACTTTATTATATGAATACTGCTCTTGGTCCATATGTTGCATTCAGGCTTTTCAAGTCACTAGATAAATTGCAAAACAAGTGTAGTTGATTGTAATTTGATAATATAGATGCTCCCTTACCGACAGTGTCGAAACTCTGTGCCATAGGAATGACCCCAGTGGTTGAAACAACACCATGAGAAGGCCGGAACCCCAAAATCCCACAAAATGATGCAGGAACTCTTACACTTCCTCCAGTGTCAGTACCTGTAATAAAGGGAACCTTTTGCTCTAACTTACGAAGGATATACCGAAAAACCACAAAATATTTTACAACAATGACAAAACTCACCTAAGGAGAAATCTACAAGCATTGCAGCAACTGCAACAGCAGATCCACTAGAAGATCCTCCAGGCACCAGATCTGGTGCACATGGATTTTTGGGTGTCCCATAATGTTTGTTTTCTCCATTTATACTGCCGAAAGATAATTATTTTAACAATGTAATTTACAATCCTGCGCGAATACTAAACATGTTTATATGCACCGAATTGTAGATTGCAATGGATTAATAAAACAATAGAAATCATCACAACCAAAAAATTAAATATAGAAATTGTTTTTCTATCTTTCCTAGAAATCCTAGACATGATATGATTTTAGAAACCCTAGAAGTGTCTCTATTTTAAATAGGGGAATGGGCTAGAGGAAGAAAACTGGGAAAAATAAAATTATGGGAAACAAAAAAAAATAAAAAAAATGAGACTACTTCATTTTGACAAGGGTTTCTAAATGCTTGAAGTAATTGATATTTTCAATTTATTAGTCTTCTTTCAGTTATCAAAATTGTTTACAAGAACAATCTAGCCAACTACGTTCTGGATTAGACCTCCCTAAGCCTTAAATCTTGTATTAGGGATATGTATCCAAAAGTTAAGTGCAGACATGTGGAAATGCCTTAAATATTCAAATACATTGTATAGTGTATTATATAATAACATGCGATGTGAATTATTTGGTGTAATTGTTCAACACAAATTACAATGGATGCATGACTGTTTAGATTTGTTGCAAAGTTTACCATGCAATTGAGTCTCACATATGAACTAATGCTTCCCTTCCCAATTTCCAGCATAACTTTATTTTATATTTTATAAAGAATACGAACTTATTCTTGAAGATATTATAGTACCATCCAAAAACTTCTTCCAACAAGAACAAAAGAGCCATGTATAAGAACAGGGTGTTTGACTCTAACCTGTATGCCATTTCATCCATGACAGTTTTACCTATACATGTAGCACCTTCCCTCAACACAGCCAAAACTGCTGGAGCTGTTGACGTGGCAGCCGAATGGGTCCGTGCCCAATCGGGATTTCCAAACCCAGTAACATATCCATCCAAATCAAATCTGCATCCAATTGTCATATTAAAACAAAATATATAACACACAAACATGCTACAAAACAAAACAAAACAAAACAAAACAAAAAAAAAGGTTGCATTTAGATTGATGAACTTCAAATCAAGGAATTTTGGGATTGAATTTTATAAAAATGCAGGAGATTAAATTATTATTTGTGGATTGAAAACTAAATAGGAAGATGAATTAGAAAAAAAAACTAAATAGGAAGATGAAGAGAAGCGGGTAGCCTTTGCTTCTCTTCATGCCACGTATTTAAAAAAAAAAAAAAAAACCTTAGGTCTAAGAAATAATTTCCACTTGAGCAAGACACATATTTTCCTATCAATTTCCTTATCATTTGTTTTTTGTTATTTATTTATTTATTTATTTGAATTAGTATATTATATATGTAAATGCTAGACACCCCCTCAAATATCAAACATTACAGGGACTGCATCTTAATTGATCGATTTTTAAATAAATCAACAAATGACAAGTAACAATTCACGTCATTGGGAAAATTTAGGGATAATATTGCAGTGGTGTTAAAGCATTTTCATATATATACATATTGGACAAAAGATAAAGAAAGTAGCCAGTAGCTGAAATTGTTCAATGAGTTTGGAATCAGTTATAAACAAGCATAAAGACTTGAACCCACAAAAATTAAGCAATCATAGTGATGAAAACTGATAGAATTTAGTTGGGCAATACTAATACAGTGTGTGAAGAGCCGAAAGTGAAGGGACTCACATGTCTTTAACGGCAAAGGTGAGTCCTTTTAAGGCAAGTTCATGAGGTGAAGAAGAGCTTGCTTCTAGTATGAATTTCTCCATGAAAGCTCCATTATCCGACTCCATCGCCATTCTCTCTCTCTCTCTCTCTCTCAGAGTCTCAGCTTTCGTCTAAATCAAATATATAAGCTTTGTGAAGAAGTGATATTGTCAAGAAAAATCAATCCTCAATTTGTTCTAGGGATAAAAATCTATCATTTGGATGAGTTTGTCCACCATGTTTTTTTTTTTTTTTTCTTTGAAATTTATAATTTAGCACTTGGATTAACTAATTTGGAAATCAATCTCACCGTTTATTAATAAGGCCTGTGTATAGACTGATTTTAAAAAATTATTCACCCTAATACAATTTTTAACCTAAAACAATCCCAAACCTTCACCATTAAACCAAATATTCTAGAGTTAAAAGGTTTAATATATTGACAAACAAACGGTAGATAAAAATTTTAAAAAATAATAAATATATATATATATATATATATTGTTCATTTTTTTTTTTTACTCTTTTTAAAAATTTTATCCAAATTTATAATTAAAATACTACCTAAATATATGTGCTTGAAACATTTATTTGATGTGTTTCTATTTTCTTTATTTATCTATTTTTCATAATTTCTAAATAAAAATACTAAAAAAAGAAAATAAGTTGTAAAAAATAACTTTTTAAGTATTCCAAAAGCACTGAGTTCTTTTTCAAAAAAAAAAATTAAAAATTATTTTGAAGAACAACCTGCCAAATAAAGTAGTGCTCTAAAAAATAAAAAACAAAAGACAAACACAACCTAACAAAAAGTTTCACCTCCCAACATACAAATCTCCTTCTGCTTCTGGGTAATGAAACTCAAAACAAACCAAAAAAAAAAAAAAAATGAAACTCAAAACAAAATGAACCCCAAAATAAGACTTCTTTTTCTCTCCCCATTGGTACAGCTCATCTTTTTACACAAAACAGAACTTACTACAACGTTCATCCCAAAGAGTACCAAATGAAGATTACAAAACAAATGAAACAAAAACAAGTATTAATCTACATTTGCAAGACAAAATGATCACTCAATTCCATCTGAGTCCTCGTCAAATAAAAACAGGTATGGAACTGAAGGTGCATTTCCACTAACTTCTCCTTCCTCATCCTCAGTGGTAATCCCAGAAACTTTCCAACCCAAATGATGCATGTAAACTTTGTCATAGGCTTCAATATTCAAACCCGAAGCTAGAAACAGTTCTACCTCATTTACAAACCGATCAGTTCTTCCGATTAAGAAAGGTGTTGCTGCTTTAGAAACCAAGGTCTTGAAATGTTCTTGTTTTGTTTCGGGCGTGGTTGGAAACTTTTGGTCATTTCTGAAACATAGAAGTGTTGGGTGTAAATTCATGTAACACAAGAAAATATGAGAACAATTACCTTTTTTTTCCCTATTCCTTTTTTGGAATTCTTACAAGTTTGAACGGAACCCTTTTCACATTTAATTTAGAGAGTCAAAAAAATATGTGAAGTGTGCCAAAACATAATAATCGGCTTGGGCTCCATAATCAACCCATATTTCCAATCAAATTTCTGTGCCAAAAATAAATAAATAAAAAAAATTGGAGTTACCTTCTGAATGAGTCAATTACACCAAGTATGTGATGAACGATAATTTCAACATCTTCCTCCTGCATATGAAGAAAAGAAGTTAATTACAAAGTTGTCTGAAGCAACATTCAACTCATAAGCAAAATGCACATATTCAGTAGGTACTTGCAAAGTTTGCTCTAATTTTGAAAATGATATCAAATTAATCAAGACTTCAAAACAGTCAAAATCAGGAAAAAAAAAAAAAAAAAAAAAAAGGCTTCACCAGCATTTGGTTTCATGTTTGCCAGATAACAAAATTTCAGCCATTGATGTGAATGAGGCATGTAGTTTATGATTGTGATGTTGGCCTTATAATAAGTTAGTAGATTATTTGCATTGTCAGGTCACTTCACTGACAACTTAAGATTTTGGGACTCTTGGGGATTTCATGTTAGGCGATGTCTCAGGTTCAAATTTTTTATTCACATTTATTTTCGCGTTCACATTATGTTTCTCTGTATGTTATGATGTTTGCACACACACACACAAAAAAATAAAATAAAATAAACCAAAAAATAAAAAAATAAAATCAAATACAAGTGGAAAATGAAAAATTGATGATCGCATGAACCTGAATTAAAGCTTGAATTTCCCTTCTCAACCAGGTTTGGAGCCACTGATTCGGCTGAAGATACTTACGAGCCTTCCAATACCGTGATACTATGAATTTATCATTTAAGGACTTTAAGGTAACTGTTTAACACACAATTTACAAAAATCGATATTAATAAAGGTGGATTTATCAGGAAATAACATCAAAATTCAAAAAACAAACAGAATTAAAGATTTAAAACGACAAGCAACAGTATACCTGGTTCAATATAGTAGCACTGTAACCTATATTTGTGAGCTTCTGAAAAGAAAGCACTGCAGATGCAATGTATAAAAGTAATGTAACATTTTCAACCATGAAAGTCAAGCTGAAGCAAAGAAATCAATAGACCACAAATTACCTATTTCCAAAATCCTGATTAATATAATGTCGTTCAAAAGAAGTTCCATCATATCTGTGAATGATAGAAAAATTTTCTGTCTGCATATTTTACATATAATAGGATTAATTTGACTGAAATTCTAAAGAGATCAAAAGGAAAGATTGGAGATATAGAATAGTTAAACTAACAAATAGAGATTAATCAATACAACTAGCTTTTTATGGTAAGGATATGATTTTATTTACTTTTATAAGATTATCAAATGAAAGGTTAGCCCCAACTTAAGATGCCTAATTCACCTAGGTGGAACCAAAGGGGCCACCAACATATGGATTTGTTGATCCAGCGGATCCTTACATTCCACTACAAATATTTCACTTTTGAATTCACAAGGTTGACTTTTGGGAAGGGGAATGCAGTGGATAGGACTTTCTCCAAGAGTTCTGCCATTAGTTTACTGCATAGTAGAAATTTCTGAGTTTTTTTTTTTTTTTAATATTTTAAAGTGTCTTTCCTATAATAGAAGTGCTTATTGGATGATTTAATTTTTTATGCCTTAATACACATTTGTATGTGCACTGCATTCTCAAAAAATGTTGGACGCCACTCTTGCAAAGAGATTCAAAACACAAGGCATGTTACCATGTGAGGTGTCCGAGAAACATCCTCAAAGTGTCATAATATATAAAATTATGACACATTCAAGAAGTTCTAGAATGTATCTAGAAATGCTTGAGAAGTGTCGGTGTCCATTTGCCATATATGGACATCTTTCCTCACTAGAAATGTTTGTGCTACCAAATATAAATTTGCCCTTCTCTTACTTCTCATCTAGCAAGATATTAAAGCATTGACATTGAACCCTTATCCCCAAGGTTCTGAAAAGCGGTTGCGGTCGCTGTAACGGTGGCAGTGGCGTGGTTGCGGTTGCGGGGTGTAAAGGCCGTAGGGTAACGGTTGCGGTAACCGGAACCGTGAATTTTTTTATTTTTCGCGTAATTTGAAAAAAACTTACCGATACGCATATTTTTTTTCCATGATCATATTTATTTGGTTAAAATAAATATTGACCAATTTTTGTAAATTTTTAAGTATGATCCAATATATTTCATATTTTTAAATCACTGTAAACTTAGTTTTTTACATTTTATTTTAATAATTAATGACTTTATATTATACAAAAAATCAATCACTAACTATTATATATAAGATAAACAATGACAAAAGTAAGAGAATAAATAAGAGCCTAAATATATATATATATATATATATATTTTAACCAAGCTAAATAGTTAATGACCACACTTATTATTATTATTATTTTCAAACAATATATAAATAGACACACACAAACAAAATGGTTGAGTGATAACAGCTGAATAGAATAACATAGGTCTTACAGTTTCAACAAATCAATAACATGTTCTTCATCTTCCCTCTTCTTTCTCTATCTCTTGCTCCTCCATTTTCTCTCTTTATCTTCCCTCTTCTCTCTATCCCTCTTCCCCCATTTTCAGCTTTTTTTTTTTGTGTTTTTTTCGAAAGAAACAGTTTGGAACCGTTACGTAACGGTGCGTAACAGGCCGTTACGGCTGTTACGGCACCGCCACGACCGCTACGGCTGACACACCTGTGAATCTCAATCACACTGCAAAAGCGGCCGTAACGGGTGGCGGTAACCGCCAAAACCGTTACGTAACGGCGTTACGTAACGGTTGCGGCCGCTTTTTAAAACCTTGCTTATCCCTAACTTATATCATGGGTAAACTTATTAAAGCAAGATACAGAAAAGATTTGGATCTGATCATGTATGGTCTTTACTTATGATACTTATGATATATCTTATTTGGTGAAACCAGGGTAGGGGTCAATTAGAACGAACTAGAGAGACTTTGGGCTCCAAGAATGCTAACATAGGCAAGACTAAGACAACCTTCCTTTTTTCTTTATATAAGTAATAATGGCAAGATTAAGATGACACATGCATAAATTTAGTAAAACTATGAAGAAAGCCACCAAAAAAGACAACAAAAAAAAAGAAGAAAAAAAAAAAGAACCGAAGGTGGCACTACAAAAGGGTGGACCCAAATTTAAAGCAATGTTTCTACAGTTTTATCGGATCAAATAATACTTATTAAATAGCTATTCAAGGTTTAAGGCACGTTAAGGTGCCAATATATCCTTAAAGCTCAAGTGGAAGATGCTGCAATCAGCCATGAGATTGAGTAAAGTAAGGCGCATGTATAATTGAAATATGCATTATTTATACTTACAGCAGCACAATTCACAATAAGAGACACAACTAACCACTCACAAATCCTAGTATAATTAGAGAAGATCCTAGAGGGGTCTCACTTGGTGTAAAATGAGTCACTCTAGTTTTGCCCCCTAATGAGCCCAAGGATATTATTGACTAGGATATCAAATTCAAAAACAAAATGAGAAACAAAAACCCTTACACCAAATTAATGTAAAAGTAGAAGAACAATATAACAAAAACAAACCTTGCATAGAGGACACTTAACAGAGGAAGGTGGGCAAGAATGCTTGTTAGCAACCACTTTGGTCCAATGTACAATGCAATTGTAGCAAAACTTATCTGCAATAGAAAAGTAGTACGGTTCGCTTAAGAAATGATTAACAATATGAATGCTTACAACGTTACATCGATTACATGGTGCATGTTGTATAGTATTATGAGTCCATTCCAATGTGTCAAATATAGCATCTTTCATGGCTCTTTTGAAACCAATGACAACATTTTACTTTTGAGCAAAAGGGAATAACCATTTCCATTCGAATTAGCAGAGGATTAAACTACATACAAATCACTCACAACAATCACAGCAAACCCTCCTCAAAGTCTGAAAAAACCCACAAAACTTGTTTGGCAAATTGTTTATGAAAATGATGGGTATTTTTTTTATTTTAAAAAAATCATTTTTTTTCTTGGAAATCACAAAAAACGAAAACGAAAACCATAGTAAACATGCCCCAAAATACAAAACCCAAAAACAGAAGTTGTGATTCTCAGTCTACAATAGCTTAAAACCTTGCAATTTCAGTTTGTTTCTATGAGTCGGCAGTACAATAAATAGATCTCTGACTAATAATTTCAAAAAGAAGCTTCAAATTCACCAATTATTAAGTTAGAAACCACAGAGAGAGAGAGAGAAGACTATGTACGGAAACATTGATCCAAATAGGATTCTTGAAGAAGAGGTCCGAGGCAGATAGGGCATGTATTCGAAGACGATGAAGAGGTAGAGTGCTCGTCTTCTTCAGCCATAATACTATCAATTTGAAGGTCGACGAGAGAGCGAGAGAGAGAGAGAGAGAGAATTAATTAATATAAATTAAAGATTATCTAATGGTAGTGATTCATCTCGTATTATATTTTTGAATAAAATTTTCACTTATATTTGAATTTTTTTTTTAAATTTCATTTCTTTTGCTAGAAAAATATGATCTACCTCTCAATAATTAATTATTTGGGAGATTTAAAAAAAAAAGGTAAATTATACTGATACCCTCTAAGATTTGAGATTTTTCTTTCACATTTGAAAAATTATATATTTTTCTTTCTGAGATTTGTAATCTCATTACAAATTGCTCTTCAAATTGCTAATGCTTTAAAATTTTCTAAATGACTGTCTTGCCCTTTTTCTTACAATTTCTTCTTTTGATCATCATGATTATATTTTACAATTTTTTAGCATTAAATTTTACCTCTTATTGAGTGATAATATACAAACATAAATTTTATATAGAATTTTCAAAACAAAGATATAACTTAATGGTAACATTTCATTTTAAAACAAAACACTCGTAAACATGATTTATATTTACAATAATATCACAATCATAATATTTTTATGATATTTTTTGTATAAATTTTTATATATGAATATAATTTTTTTTTTATTTCCGCCATTATATTTAAATTATGTCAATTTAACCTAGATATATTTAAAAAGTGTAAAATTTGTACCCAAAAAAAAAAAAATTAATTATTGAATACTAAGATAATGTATTAAATTTTTAAATTTTGTATTTTTTTGTTTTACTTGCTGAATTTAAAAAAAGAATCATAAAATATTATATTTCTTAAGTATATCTAGATTAGGTGTATTTAAAAAATAAAAAAATTACTTAAAATATTAAAAAAAAATACTTAAAAATAAAAAAAAATACAAAAAAATTAAAAAATTCTATTTTTTGTATGAGTTAAACCAAAGAAGATGATTATTATTTTCCTTAAAATAACATGAATAAAATGTCTGCATTATTTTATTATTATTATTATTATTATTATTATTATATAAAGGAAAGATCTCATGTTTAGAATGATATATTTTTTAAAAAATATTTTTAATATTTGGTTTAACAGAAAACAAAAGTATATAAATATATTTTTCATGGTTAATAAAAAAATAAATCTATTTAAATGAAAAATATTTTATCTTTTAAAAAGTGAAACGTTTTTCAAATTAAATTTTTTTTTTGTTGGTGAGAGGTTCACTCTTTATGAAATAATTTGAGGAGAAATATTTTTGTTAATTTTGAAAGACATTTTGTTTTCAATTTTATCCCCTTAATTTATTTGTTGACTATCTATTCAAATTTATATCTATCTGCTCAAATTTTTTCCTACCAGATTAATTTTTTTCACTTATCTTATCTATTTAAATATATCTATTTAAATTTTATTATTTGATCATTTTTTCCACTTATTTTTTCTTATTAGTTGAACCTATCTGTTCATTTGTTTTTATCTGTTCAGTGTTTTTATTTGTTGGAGGTCCGACCTGTTGAAAAAAATTAAATCAGTGCAATTGTTCTTGTGTTATCTGTTTAAATTATTTTGTTCTTCTAATTTTATTTTTATTTTTTTTAATCTATTTGTGTTATCTGTTTAAATTATTTTGTTCTTGTAATTTTATTTTTATTTTTTTTAATCTATCTATGTTGAACAGGTTGCATATAGTTATTGCAGTATGTTTCATCATCATCAACCTCCAACAACAACAACGATATCAAATCTAACACACATTTAAAAAAATAAAAAATAACAAATAAATAAATAAAATCTGAGAGATGTTTTATTTTTGGTTTTCCTCAACTAGTCCATCTTAGTTTACAGTTTTACTTTTTATGTGGTTGATTCTTCAGCAGAGCAATTGTTCTTTTCTTGGTGTTAATTCCCCATTAAACCAAATGCAAAACTGGTTCTAAATTATCTTTCACAACCAAACATGGCATTGGTGACTTTGCAGGTTTTCCCACTTGAACCAGCTCACTGAAATGAGAAAATATAGTTTTATATACAAAACCACATACAAAGTTCATTCTAACACAATAATATGTGCTTACAAGCTTGCATTTTGGTGTCTTAATTTTTCAGAAAAATAAAATATTTCCCACATTGCCGAAATATCGCCTGAATTCCAAAGGTTTCCATTTCCAGTGCCAATATTTTGCTAAAATTTGCAGTTGTGAATTTTGACTGTCAAAATGAGAATACTAACCAATTGAACATCTTGCTGGCTTCTGAACCAACTCCATCGGATTGGAGTTCCATAATTCTCGAGACAACGGAAGCTTTTTGAGTTCCAAACCACCTAAAGAAAGGAAAGATCAATAGAGAGAAGTCCGGCAGAGAACCTACGCGAATACACACCCTCAAAAGGGTGCGTACCATATGCGAGTTCCACCAATGTCATAACTAAATCCTTTTCCTTTTCAGTCATAACTAAAAAAGTAATGAGTCATAACCAAACATCATATAAGCTATCAAACACATTTTCACTCATAATCAAAATAATAATTACAATAAGGCATAATTAACATCATCATGAGTCATAACTAACACCATAATAAGTCATAACCTGTTGGACAATCTTCACTGTATTTAAAAGATTAAATTCTGTTGTGTACAAAACAACAACAAGAATAAAAGAAATAGATAAAATGAGAGAATTTGTTTGATTACAAAAATCAAACTCGAAATAAAAATAAATAAATAAAACCACAGATTTTATTTTGTTACAAAAACAAAATTAAAATCTGATTTAAATAAATAAAAACAACACTGAAAATAAATTAAATAACTTACTTGATTTAATTTCTTTGAATTATTTTCTGATCAAGTCCAGTGTTTGACACTGTGTCCTTAAGACAGATTCGTCCTCTCCACGGTGCTTTCAGAATTCGGACGTCTCTCTTTCTTTTTTCTCTTTCTTCCTTTCTCTTATTTGTTTATTTATTTTTAATTAGAGCATTTAGTGAAAAACAAACCAGGAGCTCAAAGGCCATGTAAAGAGTCTACTTCTATAATGGAGTCTGTTGATGTCATGGGGAAGATAAGCATGCACAATGTTCTAGTTATCTGTTGCTTGTAACCTTATCACTTCAACATAATTGATCCTAAATGATTTATAAATTAATACATTTTATAAAATTTACTTAGTTAAAATGTGACGTGTAGTCTGGAAAAGATTTAGGATTTGACTTTGAAAGTGAAAGTATATGTTTCTTCCAAAGGCGAAAGTTTATTGACACTAGAAAAATCAATTTATCAATAAAAAAAATAAGTAATGTGGATAATCAAACAAGAATGGATGATAAAACAAAGAGTATTATAATAAATTAAATTTTAATGTTTAGGAAAAAACATAAATGACACAACAAATATAAGACAAAAAATAAGAAATGTAACAAACACAATGAAGATTCAAATCCTCAATTTGTCAGTTGTGCTAGAATTTTAAAAAGATCGTGCCTTTTTTAGATAGATATCTTTTGTTGAAGAGATGTTCGAGGCAAATTTGTTGTTACTAGCTACATATGTTATTAAAATGAATGTTTTGTTAAATTCTACCAATGAAAATATGTTTTTTATTTGAATAGTGAGATTTTTTTTTTATATATATATGACAATATTTTCAACAGATTGAACCAAAGAAATGTGAGATTATTGAGTTAATTGAATTGAGAATTGTTCTTTGATTAAAGTTTTAAATTCAATTATAAATACAAAAATAGAAGTAAATCAAGGTAATATACACATATATTAAACAAAAAAAGGTTCTAAGGCAAAAAATAAACACAAACAAGGACTAATATTTGATAAACTCAGTTAAAAAATTAATTTTAAAATTTTGTCATATAGTTTATTAGGGGGTACAAACTCTATTATTTTGGGCGTGCAGAACATCTTACAAATTACTACTATGATATTGAGAGACTTTTTTAAAATTTTGATAGAACATTTGGTAAAATCACTGCTGGAAAAATGACTTTTAGCGGCGTTCTTTTTAATGTACAAATTCATCTCTAGCTAAAAATAAAGCATATAAAAAGGAGAACTGTACCCGTCCACCAGAACAAGGCTAGAATATATATAGGGCTCTAGAAAATGTTAAGAATCATGTAAATTATATCAAGCATTAGATCTTAAGAATCATGTAAACTATATGTATGAAAAACGCCGCTAATTCCTTTAGTGACGCTTATCACCAAACGTCGAGGACGCGGCCGTCGCTATAAGTTTATGACGCTTGAAAAACGTCGTAAAATTAGTATAGGCGGCGTTTTAAAAACGCCGCTAAATGCGATAAATAATGATAAAATGACGTCATCCAATATTTAGCGACGTTTTTAAAACGCCGTGATAGATTTTTTTATTTTAAAAAAAATGTCCGTTGGCACTGTAGTGGCGTTTTGAAAAAACGCCGTTATAGCTCTTTTTTTAAAAAAAAAATTGTTCTGAATCTGTTATATTTAACTAAAAAACATACCTGTAACAAAAAGAACTAAACTGACAAATAGAATATGGCATGCAAAGCACGGTAAATTAGTATTGATGCAATGAGATAAGCTATAGAATCGTCTTCTGTTTACTTACACTGATAGTATTGATGGAATGAGAACACTGGTCATTTCTTGACATAACAAAAAATTAAAAATCATACATTAGCAGATCATGACACTACTACTACTTCATGACATTAAGTTCACTCTGCCATGGCTGCTAAGGTGATACTCCAAATGCCTGCACTTAAAACAAAACAAGACATCTATGAGAATTGAACAAGTTGTTTGGATATAATGCGAAGTGAAAGTGATTGAGGATTGATGGGAATATCTATATCCATCTACTAATAGCAAATATATACTCACAGCTTTAATCTGGTTATTTTTCACCCAATCCACAAACATATTAGAACCATCCTCTTCCATTGAACCTAGATATCTAACGTAGCAATCTTTTCACCTTATCATTACATTTGGTTCCTTCTCCAACCATTTCAGAGCTGCACATGAGAGAGAGAAAGAGAGCCTGAGAGTTGAATTTTAATGAATAGATCAAAAAAACAGAGAAAACAGAGTTCACTTATATACTAGGAACCAAATTAGATTCATCAGTGCCAATGATGCAATGAGAATAGGGATGTTCGAGTTTTCCAGGATAGTGGGAATCAAGAAATGCAAGAACTAGCCATTTCTAGTTTCAAAACACTTTTGCCTGTCTTGTCGATTCATCGATCGTTTCATTGATCTGACTGTTGGGCTCTGTGGGTGCCTGAAAAAAACACTCAACCAAACACAGACTTAACCATCATAACATAACAACTCAGTTTCAGACCACAAAGAGAACCAAACAATCTGTGTCGTGTTAAAAACTGGTTTTGTCAACAAGCTAAACTTGAATTGATTTTAAAATCGCTAAGCTTTTTAAGCCAAGTTTAAACGATCTGTTGTACAAGTGGGTTAGCAGATGGGGACAATCTAATCCATATTAATTTGAAGTAAAGAAAAATCTAGCCATTACTAAATAATTGAAACTGGGTAATAATGAAAAGATAAAGAGAGAGGGGAGGAGAGAGACCAGATTTCCAGCTCCAATGGTGCAGAAGCCATTGATGATGTTGACGAGAACTAAACCAGTCTTGACATCTTCAAATAAAACTACTGATTCTTCCTCAAATGGAATTTCATTTTTCAAAAGATTTACTGTCTTCAATACCATCTTTCAAAACCCAAAAAAAAGAACCACAAAACAATTCACAGAGCAATTTAATAATTCAACTGTCTTCAATACCATCTTCTAACTGTTATATCAATAACAAAAGGTGAACATCATATGAGAACACTGGTCCAAAAATCTTCCCTGAGATTTTTGGGTATGTCAATTGCATGTAGATTCCCAACTCCCAGTTGACTTTTCCGTGGCAATTTTAAAGCATGCATCATCAAAACGTGATATCGTGTTGTTGAGAATTGCATTTTTGAAATGTATTTATAAATTATAGCTAATCTAATTCATAGGCAACTCTTTTGCTAATTGGGGCAACAAAAATTTATAGTCCTCTTTGGCTGTTGTAATCTAACATCAACTGTTACCTTTTTTTTTCACTTTGGTACCTCATATGTTTTTCTTTAGGCATTCCCTTCTCTCTACTTGATAGATTCCAACTCCTTCTCCCTATTCTTTTCTTTTTAATGAACAAATTCATCTCTAGCTAAAAATAAAGCATATAAAAAGGAGAACTGTACCCGTCCACCAGAACAAGGCTAGAATATATATAGGGCTCTAGAAAATGTTAAGAATCATGTAAATTATATCAAGCATTAGATCTTACCAGTTAATAATTCATGCTGTTCCAAATAGGCCTCAACTTCCCATATCCTCCAACTATGGATCTGATCACATTATTACAAAGACAGCCATTAAGCAGAAAATAACACACAAGTGTTTTAGTTTCATTTCAATTGAAGTATAATTGTGAAGTCCTTGTCTTCCATAAATTTGACTACGATGCTGTAATGAATACATGACAAATTCAACTTAATATAAACAAAACTGAACAGCACATTATTCATCTTCATGTCAAAGGATGTATGTGTTGCAGATTAATCACTACAATAAATTTAAAAAAAAAAATTGCAAAATCTCTGTAAAGCATGTACTCTTAATGTCACTAACACTAGAGCATAACCTCAAACCAGCAGAGCAACAAGAAGAAAAAACCTACTCAACACAGTTTTCTGCAAATTTGCAAGCAGTAGAACCATATCAACAATACAAGGACCAATTAACACAGCTTACATAGTCTGTGATGTATAATTGGTAGCATGACCCACAAAAATAAATGTTACAAATGACCTATAATAATCACTATATCATCAATTTTCTGGAAGGTATAATCCAGATCATTCTGCTTTATCCATCCCAAATGAGTGTTATGTTTGAAAAAGCATAAAGCTTATGAAAGCAACAATAAATCCAAGCACTGTCACTGCATCTCTTTGGCATAAACTCTTCCAAAATTGCTCGCTTTTATACATATGTAATGTAACATGTTTGCCGTAACTGGTAACACTGGGGAGCAATAGAATATTGCTTTGAATTTTCCATTGGGACATATATTCAATTTGGGACCAATAAAAATAAAAGCAAGGCACTTATTTCAAGATGGAGGGAGTATATTATATAAATTTCATTCACACCATTCATCCAAGGCAACAGCTCCCTTGGAACTAGTAGATTGACATAGACATGCAATAAAGAAAAACATAATAATTTTTATTGAGACTTTGGAGACACCAAAACAGTACATAAAAGCAATATTCTATTGCTCCCCAGTGTTACCTTCAGTGTTGTCCTGAACCTCAGATTTGGTGCAAGGAGAAAACACACTCTCATAGAACGATGTTAGGATGCAAATATTTGATATAACGCCTGAAGTAGATAATATAGAGCAAGGAAAAGTAAAATTGGATCGGATGGAGAATAGATAATATAATATAACATATAGAGCAAGGAAAAGTAAAATTGGATCGGATGGAGAATAGATAATATAATATAACATATAGAGCAAGGAAAAGTAAAATTGGATCGGATGGAGAATAGATAATATAATATAACATATAGAGCAAGGAAAAGTAAAATTGGATCGGATGGAGAATAGATAATATAATATAACATATAGAGCAAGGAAAAGTAAAATTGGATCGGATGGAGAATAGATAATATAATATAACATATAGAGCAAGGAAAAGTAAAATTGGATCGGATGGAGAATAGATAATATAATATAACATATAGAGCAAGGAAAAGTAAAATTGGATCGGATGGAGAATAGATAATATAATATAACATATAGAGCAAGGAAAAGTAAAATTGGATCGGATGGAGAATAGATAATATAATATAACATATAGAGCAAGGAAAAGTAAAATTGGATCGGATGGAGAATAGATAATATAATATAACATATAGAGCAAGGAAAAGTAAAATTGGATCGGATGCTTTGGCTTCAATTTCCCATTCACTCGGTAATGGTTTTGATCAACCAAATATACCACGTGAATCACAACGCGGCATAGAACGCGTTACCACTTTGACCCGAGTAAATCGACACTCGGGGCCCACCTAAAAAATAGACCGAACTTAAGAAAAAATTCTAGTTTTATCCAGAATTTTATAACCATTTCCAACATAACCAGCATCATAATATGTCATAACTAAATACCACAATATCATAACTGGGGCATATAGTACACACTCCAAAATGGGGTGTGTATCATAGATTTTTCCTGGGAATCCTATTTTTATATATTGAAGCGTTGAAAAGATAAAACATATATTAACATGATACCAACTTCAGTAACTCTATTCTTGAGCGACTTCAAATTGTTTTTTGAGAGTTTCGTAAAGTAGCAGGAACCCATCTGATCCGTGTTTTGCCAACAAGGAAACTTCCACGGGAAGATTATCGTACATCCCTAGTGGAATGCTCACCTGTGTATTTAACCAATTCCCAAAACGAATTTTGTCGTAGTCAAGAACATTATAAATAAAATCATGTCACGCTCATGCACAGAGAGAGAGAGAGAGAGAGAGGGGGACCTGGCAAAAGCCCGATACTCCAGCAACAGACAACAAGCTAAAAGCCCTGGCACCAAACTCTTCCAGCGTAGTCTGCTCTGTCTGTAACTTCGGTGGAGGGCCAGGAGTTGTGGGGATTGCCAAAATACCAAAATCCTGCAAAATTAATTCATAAAGAGTATAATAATGAGGGAAAGATTACGAAAACAAATTTTAGTAGGGATTTGTGGAACGAAATTACAAGAAAAGGAAAAAGTGAATGATTCATCTAATAGATATGTATCAAAAGCACGAGAATTGGCTTCTAAGACACAGAGAGAGAGGTTACCCCTAGGAGAGCAGTGAGAGCAGCACGCAATTCAGTCTTCACAGAGGTGAAGACATCAATATTTTCATCTGTTGACCTCATCGCTTCCCACACACGTTCGGATATACCGGGTCCTAAATCAGGTTTGACTGTACTTACCCACTCACCATGATTATTCTTGAATTCATGCCTATGCTTCAAAGGGAATTGAATTGAAGAGTCAATATTTGGATGAAAATGGTCTTATTCAAATCACAATTCTATTACACAACCAGAAAAGAGTTTGTTCATGATCTGCACCTTTGAACCTCCTTCAGTGCATTTGAGAGGGCTACCAAGGATGCAACATTATATTCTTGATTCTCATCTCCTTCGACCATGAAATGCTTCAAAGTCGAAACATTGTCCTTAACATAGTCCCCGAGGCTTGCATACTTTACAATGTGACCTGCATCAGTTACTACATAAGGTGAATCTCATAAAGAAAAAATAGATCAATATGAATGTTGAAGATAACTCGGTCTGTGTTGTGCATAATGTTTTTATCTTTTTATACGACTGGACCCACACCCTGATAAGGAGATTTGTGTGTTAGGTAGCCTGACAACCATCATGTAAAAATCTCGATCAGATCCCTGATTGGGACACAAGGCATAGTTTGGTTTGGTTGTCAAAGATGAATTTCAATGTGTTAGACAATGTCAATTGTTTTTTTATTAGTTACGATAAATTTTTTTGGTCAATGATTTCCATGATCCTATAATTAACCCATTTTAAGGGGTGGATTACATGAAATGGATATCTAAATGGAATCTATGTATTTGTGTAGAAACTCCAAATGTCGACTGTTAGTACTTCAGCAGCACAGTGAAACAACAAACACACTTACCCCCAAATAATTTCTCCACTGATTTAACAAGAACTGTAGTTACTCGATCACTTGGGATGCTTAGAAGCGGGAAACAATCTTCTGGAATAATAATATGGCTAGGTTTCACAAGTTCCACAATAGGCAACTGTAGTAAAACCCGCCCGACTCGGTTCAAGATCTCTGCATCCCTAGCAAACCATCCTGGATAACAAGTGGAGCCAAAGAATGAGTTGCTGATTAAAAACACTACAAGGTACAAATTTCTTATTCATAACAGTAAGTTTCTGAATAAATCTGTATATTCAAATTGTGTATGATACAAAGAATATAACCGATATATATAGTAATCCTAGACCTAATCTAAAATAGGAAATGTTAAAATTGATGTATAAAAAAAGAAATAGAGAATTGTATTATTGATTGTTTGAATGTTGTATATTACAAATGGTGAGGGGCTCCTTATATAGGAGATGTAGTGGAGTAGGTGGTAGTAGGTGGTAGTGGTAGGTGTGTAGTAGGTGGTAGTAGGTGGTGGTAGGTGTAGTAGGTGGAGTAGGTAATGGTAGGTTTTAACAGCCCCCCGCAAACTCAAGGGGGATAGGAACTAACCAACCTGAGTTTGGAGAGAGTAACAAAACAAGAAAATAATCTGAAAAATAAAAAATGGATAGGAGACACGGTATGGTCGTGTCAGACCGTTGTAGAAGACTGTATGGTTATGGCAGACCGATGTAGAAGACACTGGCTCGTGTTGGACCGATGTAGAAGACAGTTTATGGGGTCATGTCGAACCGTTGTAGCAGACAATGTTGTGACAGGAGTTGTGACAGTTTACGGAGTCTTGCTGGACCCTTGTAGAAACTAACCGGAATCAATGTCGGGACAGTTTACAGAGTCTTGTCAGACCCATAAAGGAGCTAACCGGAATCAATGTCGGGACAGCTTACAGAGTCTTGTCGGACCCATAAAGGAGCTAACCGGAATCAATGTCGAGACAGTTTACAGAGTCTTGTCGGACCCATAAAAAATCTAACCGGAATCAATGTCGAGACAGTTTACAGAGTCTTGTCGGACCCATAAATATGGTCGCAAGGCTGAAAGCCCGAGGCAATCAGACAAAAAAAAATCCAGAAAACCAAACTTCAGTGGTTATAAAATAAAATTAAAAAGAAAAAATTGACGTGGAAAAATCAAAGGTAGTAAAAAAATTTAAAAATGCTTTAAACTACAAATAACTGTTGAGATTCCAAGGTTCCAGGAGATAAAATCATTGATTGTGAAAGATGATATTTTTGAGAAACACACAATCTTGCACATTTCCTGAGTCTACTAAACTGAAAAGTAATATTTAGTTATCCATTAGATAAGACCAACAAGTTTTGCTCTAGTCTGTAAAAACGAAGAGGAATAAGTTTCTAGCTGTAGAACCAATATAATGAGGAGTAGCAAACAGATGTACATTTGAACAAACCCCCATAACAAAACAATTTCATGCATTATCCGCATTGCAATTAGAATTAAAGTGATACACAAGATAACAATGAATCAACAATATCACTTAATAGTTTCTAAATTTAAGCTACTTATTTTGTCACTTGAGTTTACCCATATATTTTCTAAATTTTAAGCTACTTATTGTCACTTGAGGGATGCGCGAGCAGAGATAAGTGTGCTGAAGGCGGAAAACAAGGAGCTGAAGCGGAAGGCTACCGTGATGTTCCGATTTGGAGGTCCACCATATGCTGTAGTGGAGGAGCAGGGTGGAGTGAACGTGCTCGGTGGAGTGGGTAGTATGGAGGCAGCGCCGGTAAGGGACACCCAAGAGAAAAGCAAGAAGAAGAGACCTGCAGCAGAGTAGAGAAGAAAAATCCCGCCTGTGGATGTGGTTTTTGTTTTTGTTGTTTTTGTTTTTGTTTTTTGTTTTTTGTTTTTTTTTTTGTTTTTTGTTGTTGTTGAAGAAATTGGTGTGTTTTTTTTTTTTTTTGTTTTGTGTTTTTGTGTTTTATGGAATGAAATAAAAGAAAATTTTGAAAAAAATCAGAAGTGGTTGGAACGTACATATATATAGATATATATAGAAAATAAAAGATAGTTGATGAGAGGGATGTAACCCGGAGTAATAGAATAAAAAAAAAATATGTATGTATAGATAGAAAAGAAAAGAAAAGAGAAAAAAGAAAAGAAATTGAATTCAAGTTATATATATGTATATGTGTACATATTAAAATATAGATAGAATATATTATGATGGTGGGAAAAATGATAAATTATTTTAAGAGATAGTGGGTGGTTCATGTGAGTAGTCTCGTGGGTGATAAGAAAAAAGAGGGAGTGGGTGATATAAAAAAAAGAAAAAAAAGAAAGTGGAAGAGAGTGTGAACATACTGATGATGAAAAGTGGGAACCAACCCATGTGGGTGGAGGTGGTATGTAGGGTATTTAAACACTTAATTAATATATAATATATAATGGAGAGATATGGTAAAGATATGTATAGATATATGTTAGTGGTGTCTAAACCCAAAATGCTGTATAGAATCAGCAACTCAGTACTTCTCAGAGGTGAATCAGCAACTCTACGTTCTTCCTTCATCCCGCTCCGGTGGCCACGATGGTGTTCACGACGAACAACAAAGATCAAATCATTTCTTCTCTACCTATCAGTCTGTTTTCACCATCTCTGTAGAAGAGTCAACCATGGCTGCTCATGAAGAAGAACGTGAGATTCAAAAAAAAAAAAAAAAGGTACTGGATCGAGCACTCTGCCGACCTCACCGTGGAGGCTATGATGCTTGACTCCAAAGCCGCTGATCTCGACAAAGAGGAAGGGATTGGAAGAAGGATACTCCAAGGGTGAAACTGGGTTTATTCTGGATGGAATTCCTCATACAAGAATCCAAGTTGAGATCCTTGACCGAATTGCTGATATTGATTTAGTGGTGAATTTCAAATGCTCTGAGGAGTGCTTGTTGAAGCATGTGAGAAATGGAATTTATTTTACTGGTCAAGAATTTCTGAGCATGGGATCTTTCGGTGCTGATGTGCAAGGTTGGAGTTCGGTGGTTGAGGCGGCGATCGGCGGTTCAGAGGGTGAAAGAGAAAAGGCGAGCTGGAGGAGTGGTCGGAGAGTCCGTTTGCTTCTTAGACGCACAACAAAATCTGCTCAAGCACGAGGGAAGAGAGTTGGGCATGAAGGTGATGCTCACGTCGAGGAAGATGACACATGTACTTCAGATCAGCCACAGCCAAATAAGAAACACCTTGAAGATCCTGCTCAACAATTTGATAACCAATCACATGATTGTGCAGTAGGAGAGGAGCACCAAAATGATAAGGAGAGTTGGAAGATGTAGGAAAGTGAAGGTATGTGTAGAGGTCCGGCGGGCGGCCAAGGCGAGGTTGCTGCCCGCCGGTGAAGCAGAATTATTAGATTCTAAACCTGCTCTGATACCATGTTAAAATTGATGTATAAAAAAAAGAAATAGAGAATTGTATTATTGATTGTTTTAATGTTGTGTTTACAATGAGTCCTATATATAGAAGATTAGAGGAGGTAGGTATGTAGTAGGTGGAGTAGGTGAAGTGGGTGGAGTAGGTGTAGTGGTAGGTTTTGGTACATTTTAACACTAGGTTTTCTGCTCAATGTGGTGAATTTACCAATCATGACTATATAAAGTTAAGACTATTTCCAAATTCTCTAACTGGAGGAACATTTGTATGGTATATTAACCTTCCACCTGGCTCCATCCAGACTTGGCAGCAAATAGAAGAGGCATTTCATGCCCAATTCTTCCAATCAGAGCCAGAAGTTTTCATGGCAGACTTGGCCAGATTAAGTCAAAGGCCTGAAGAAAAGGCTACTCAGTTTATTTCCAGATTTAAGAGGGCTCGAAATAAATGTAGAGTAATCTTGTCAGAAACTGAATTTGTAAGTAGGTGGAGTAGGTGATGGTAGGTTTTAACAGGAAATAAGAATAACCCTATACAAACAATCTAATATCCACACAATTAATCTAAAATATACAACCAATCTAATATATTTCCATAATTAACATAATAACATAATATTCTCACACTCCAGCTCAAACTCAAGGTGTTTTCTCAAGGTGTTTTAGCAGAAAAAACTGAGAGTTTCTCACGAAAAAACTGAAATCGAGCAGTGGTGTGAGCCAGAGCACGATACTCAGCCTCAGCAGTGGAATGCGCAACAACAGTTTGTTTCTTGCTCTTCCAAGAAATCACCAAGAAACATACAGAAGGTAGAAGTGGACTTAGGATCAGTGATATCACCAGCCTAATCATAATCATAATCAGAATCAGCATAAGCTAGCAAGTCCAAAGAGGAAGTAGAAGACAACAGTAAATCCTGAAATATAGTACCCTGAGATAGCGAAGAATCTAAACCAAAGCAACCCACTGTATAGAACGAGGAGCAAAAACAAACTGACTAACCACATGAGACTGCTAAGTAGAGGCAGGCAAATGTCTCTTCTTGGGACAGTGGTACTTCCAATGGCCCCTCTGAAGACACACTCATCAGAAACCAAAGACATCATTAACAGAAAGTTTTGGGGTTCAAACTGTAATAACCCACAACCAGAACTAGATGGGTCAAATTGTAATAAGCAACAAATTATCCAAAGAACCTACAAGTTGCAAAAATCCTAAATGAAAGATGAAGGCACCAAGTGGGGTCAAAATATAATAACCAGAATTTTGACCTAAAGACCACAAATATTCCCAAGTCAGATGAAGGCACCAAACTAAAAGCACTAGAGGGAGACTATACAACTATCCTAAGTCAAAGGAAGCACTGAAGCAATGAACTAGAGGGAGATTGAAGCTGATCGAGAGAAACAAGGTAGCTGCAATTCCAGAGGAGTGGTGATCACGAACGTAAGTTGGAAAAGAGAAAGAGATCGCTACCACAATCGTGATTTCGGAGAGAGAGAGAGAGGGGTTGCGACCATGGCTGCGATTTCAGAGGGAGGTCGCATCTGATGGCCACGAACCAGAGGCTAAAACAAAAGGGTTGATTTGAACTCAAATCGGTTGCTTGAACTCAAATGAGGGCTAGAGCCAGAGAACTCGATCAAGCCAGAGATCAAAACTAGAGATGATTTCGAACTAGAGGGAGAGAACTTCGAACTAAAGGGAACTTTGAATCAAAGGAAGAACCTTGGACTAGGGTTTCGGATATGGTTCTGATATCATGTAAGTTTCTAAATAAATCTGTATATTCAATTTGTGTATGATACAAAGAGAACAACTGATATATATAGTAATCCTAGACTTAATCTAAAATAGGAAATAAGAATAATCATATACAATCAATCTAATATCCACACAATCAATCTAATATATTTCTATAATTAATATAATAACATACTATTCTCACAAACAATAAACTAATCAAAAAATAAATTTAATTACACGGACATAAAAATGCCACCCTGATCCCCCCAAAAACTAAATTACGAGGTGGGGGAGGAACTTAGAAGTTTATAGATAGTCTTACTTGCAACACATTTTTGATGACATGATATTGTCCAATGTTATATGGACTCGGGTACGGATGCATGTCCAAGCGTCAAATCTTCCTAAACCTAAATCTTAGGATATTGAGATATGCATTCAAAAGTTGGGTATGAGTATAAGGACATGTCTTAAAGTGAGAAATGTTTATTTACTAGCAAATTTGAGTGTCTTCTTCTTCAAACATCATATAAAATTAGTAGATCCAAGTAGATACCGGTGTCGGACACATATCTCACACTCTTACCCTGGTCATATCCAGTGGACATAGGGACACTAGGGGTAGTAGACGAGTTCATGTAACATAGATTTTGTCAAATTCAAGATAACTGGTAAGCTTCAAGACAACCAAGATATTAGCAATGATATTCTTGTACTTCCTGTCCAGTTTGGGGCTTGGGAGTAGTCATTTTAATTCAAAATAAAATGCAGAATGCATTCAATAATGTCTTGTGACATTTAGATTACAGTTTTCACAAGAAATCATTGAGAAGTTCACTTCTTGGGTCAAAAGATACTTGAATACTTTCAACATTCACACTTTATTATATGAATACTGCTCTTGGTCCATATGTTGCATTCATGCTTTTCAAGTCACTAGATAAAATAGTTGCAAAACAAGTTTAGTTGATTGTAATTTAATAATATAGACGCTCCCTTACCAACAGTGTCGAAACTTTGTGCCATAGGAATGACCCCAGTGGTTGAAACAACACCATGAGAAGGCCGAAACCCCAAAATCCCACAAAATGATGCAGGAACTCTTACACTTGCTCCAGTGTCAGTACCTACGATAAAGGGAACCTTTTGCTCCAACTTGTGAAGGATATACCAAAAAACCACAAAATATTTTATAACAATGACAAAACTCACCTAAGGAGAAATCTACAAGCATTGCAGCAACTGCAACAGCAGATCCACTAGAAGATCCTCCAGGCACCCGATCTGGTGTACATGGATTTTTGGGTGTCCCATAATGTTTGTTTTCTCCATTTATACTGCCGAAAGATAATTATTTTAACAATGTAATTTACAATCCTGCGCGAATACTAAACATGTTTATATGCACCGAATTGTAGATTGCAATGGATTAATAAAACAATAGAAATCATCACAACCAAAAAATTAAATATAGAAATTGTTTTTCTTTCTTTCCTAGAAATCCTAGACATGATTATGATTTTAGAACCCTAGAAGTGTCTATTTTAAGTAGGAAAATGGGGTAGAGGGAGAAAACAGGGAAAAAGAAAATTATGGGAAACAAAAAAATAAAAAAATGAGACTAGCTTGAAGTAATTGGTATTTTCAATTTATATAGTCTTCTTTCAGTTGTCAAATTTGTTTACAAGAACAATCTAGCCAACTACGTTCCGCAGGCTCAAGTATGAGTATCAGGTATGAGAGTGTGCCCAGGCATTAGACCTCCCTAAGCCTTAAATCTTAGTGTATTAGGGATCTGTATCCAAAAGTCGAGTGCAGACATGTGGAAATGCCTTAAATATTCAAATACATTGTATATTGTATAATATAATAACATACAATGTGAATTATTTGGTGTAATTGTTCAACACAAAAATTACAATGGATGCATGACTGTTTAGATTTGTTGCAAAGTTTACTACGAAATTGAGTCTCACATATGAACTAATGCTTCCCAATTTCCAGCATAACTCTATTTTATATTTTATATAGAACATGAACTTGAAGATATTATCGTACCATCCAAAAACTCCTTCCAACAACAAAAGAGCCATGTATAAGAACAGGGTGTTTGACTCTAACCTGTATGCCATTTCATCCATGACAGTTTTACCTATGCATGTAGCACCTTCCCTCAACAGAGCCAAAACTGCCGGAGCTGTTGAGGTGGCAGCTGAATGGGTCCGTGCCCAATCGGGATTTCCAAACCCAGTAACATATCCATCCAAATCAAATCTGCATCCAATCATCATATTAAAACGAAATATACAACACACAAACATGCTAAAAAACAAAACAAAACAAAAAAAAGTTGTATTTAGGCTTCGTTTGGGAAGTGGGTTGGCTTTTTGGCTTTTTGGTTTTTTTGGCTATTTTAGCCTGGGCTAAAAAGCTTGGTTTGGGAAGGGCTTTTTAACTTTTTGGCTTTTTTGACTTTTTTTGTGAGAGAATAGTGTAATGATTATGAGTTGGATGTAATGTTTTGTTTGTTGTGACTAAAATAGCTTATTTTGTCTTTTGTACCTAAAATAGCCAAAAAAGCCCATAAACCAACTTGCCAAACAGAAGCTTAAATTGATGAACTTCAAATCAAGGAATTTTGGGATTGAATTTTATAAAAATACAGGATTAAATTATTATTTGTGGATTGAAAAACTAAATAGGAAGATGAATTAGAAAAAAAATAACGAGTGTTCTATCAAAGCACAAAAATTAAAAATCACAGAGACACAAAACAACACAAAATCTATATAATTCACCATTAACTAGAGAGCTACATCCACCGCAGATGCAGTTCTAGTACGATCATAAAGGTTACAAGTGATACAGAGCCCCTCCAAACTTCATATGCATAGAATTATGGGAACAATTAAGAACCACACTACCAACAATACATATAAGGACATATGCATATATATATATGCTATTATAGAAAGCAAAGGCAGGTAGCCTAACTATAAGTTTTATCGACAGTTTAAAAAAATCGTCACAAAAAAAGTCACTAATTTTTAACTTTTAGTGACATTTAAAAAAATGTCATAGAAAAACGTCACTAATTGTAAGTTTTAGCGACAATTTATAAAAACCATTGGCAAAAAACAGTCCTAATTGTCAATTTTTAGCGACATACGCAAAAAATCGACACAAAAATTATTTTTAACAAATAGTAGAATTTGTTTTAATAGGATTTGATGAGAATTAAATCTAATTATTAGGACCTATTTTTAGTTTACCCTAACAATTAAGAACCACACTACCAACAATACATACAAGGAGATATGCATATACTACTATGAAGCATGGTTCTTCGAAAAACATGTCGTATCCGTACTGGCTACTTACCGGCGTATGATACGTCATATGGTACTTCTGCATACATATTGGGTACACGAAACACGTACTCAAATTTTTTCTTCTTAATTTTTGACGTACACAGACGTACCGTACTGTACCTTAGTTGAAACAATATTTTCTTCTAGTACAGAGATAAAACTCCTTTCACTAAACTTTCTTTTTATTTTTTATTTTATACTTAGTATGATTTTAAAATTAAACTATGATTTATAAGTTATTTAATATATTGATATTTAAGTAATTTTTGTATTATCTAAATTCAAAATAATTTTTTTTTTACAAATACTGTACCTTAGTTGAAACAATATTTTCTTCTAGTACAGAGATAAAACTCCTTTCACTAAACTTTCTTTTTATTTTTTATTTTATACTTAGTATGATTTTAAAATTAAACTATGATTTATAAGTTATTTAATATATTGATATTTAATTATTTTTTGTATTATCTAAATTCAAAATAATTTTTTTTTTACAAACGTACCAATCCGTACTTGTATCCTATTTTTAAAAAAATTTACAATATCGACGTACCCGTATCATATCAGTACTGGTATCCGTACCCGTGCTTCATTATACATATATACTCTTATATAAAGCAAAGACGGGTAGCCTTTGCTTCTCTTCATGCCACATATTTAAAAAATAAATAAATAAAATAGATAGTGAAGTGCACAAGACTCAAATCAAAACCTTAGGTCTAAGAAATAATTACCACTTGAGCAAGACACATATTGTCCTAACTTAACAATTCACATCATTGGGAAAATTTAGGGATAACGTTGTAGGGATGTTAAAGCATTTTCATATATATATATATATATATACATACATATTGGACAAAAGATAAAGAGAGTAGCCAGTAGCTGAAATTGTTTAACAAGTTTGAAATCTGTTAGAAACAAGCATAAAGACTTGGACCCACAAAAATTAAGCAATCATAGTGATGAAAACTGATAGAATTTAGTTATTACAGTGTGTAAAGAGCTGAAAGTGAAGGGACTCAAATGTCTTTAACGGCAAAGGTGAGGCCTTTTAAGGGAAGTTCATGCGATGAAGAAGAGGTTGCTTCTAGTATGAATTTCTCCATGAAAGCTCCATTATCCGCCTCCATCGCCATTCTCTCTCTCTCTCTCTCTCTCTCTCTCACAGAGCTTTGGTCTCAAATCAAACGTAAGCTTCTGAAGAAGTGATATTTACCAAGAAAACATTTTACTGTGAGAGTGAGAGACGGTGTCGTTTCTTAGGCGTTATGGGGTTCATGGAATCATGGTATGGTATGGTGGCAAAAGCAAAGTGGCCTTGGCAAAATCATTAATCAATCCTCAATTTCTACAAGGGAGATTGATTGGATAAAAATCTTATCATTTGGATGAGTAAAGGCCTACCGTGTGTTTTTTCTTCTAAATTTATAATTTAGCACTTGACCGAATCGATTGATTGATTTGAAAATCATTCTCATCGTTTACTAATGGGTCCTGCTACGTTTCATGAAAACTGTCATGAAAATCATCTGCACCTTTGGATCATGAGACACATACCTGATCTAACGGTGCAGATGGTTTTTATAACAGTTTTCATGAAAATTCTTCATGAAACCTAGCATTTCCCTTTACTAATAAGGTCCGTCTATGGATTAATTTAAAAACTTCACTGTGTTTGGTTGTGATTTTTTAAACATGATTTTTAGAAAATTTTATACAACTTGTTTGGTTATTCTAAAAAACAAATTATGTTTTCAAAAAAAAATATGTAAGGTGTGATTCCTCACGTGATGTTAATAGCCTAAGCCTTAATACAATTTACTTGTACTCCTCTTCATAGCCTCTGCCTTGCCTCTTTATTACCTTTACATATAGGTACATTTTTTGTTTTTTATTATTTACACTTACAACCTAGAACTATTTTTCAGTTTGACTATTTATTTAAATTTCATGGAAATTCTATGATTTCGAAAATAAATATAAACATAAATATATGATGTTTTAAATCGTAAATTTGTAAAAAAAATTATGATTTCATAAATAAATTTACACATTGATTCACATTTTTTTTTAATGCCAATTTGAAATAATTGGGCATTTTTCTGAAATTGCGGTTCCGGAAATTTGTACATAAATTCACTGTGTTTTTTGGAAACTTGTATAAATTTATGTTTTTTGGAAATTTGTATAAATTTACCATTTAAGCAAATTTGTAAATAAATTTTGGTTATTCTGAAAATTTTGAACATAAATTTGCCAAGCGTATGATTTTGTGAATACAAATTTATGATTTCATTTTGTGCATAACATTTATGAAAATTTGATTATACAAAATAAATTTTTGAATGCCAATTTAGAAAAAAAAATTGACTTTTCTATGGTTGCAATGAGTGAAAATTTTATAAAAAAGTGATACAGTTAATGGTAAGATACATACTCATAAATAGATACATGTCACATTATATTTTCATAAAACCAAGCATGTATATATATATATATATATATAATGTACCTGAGAGAATGTTTTGATGTGAATTTTTTGTGTTTTTTTAATTGTTTCAATATTAACTTGGAGGAAAATTTGAAATTTTAATGATGTATTTTTTGAAAAACCAAACAAGGTTTTTTTTCAAAAAAGAGTTTTCAAATTATTTTTTCAAAAAAAATTTCAAAAAAATGCAGCCGAGCATAGTGATTTATATTGATAAAATTTTAAAATAGAGGAAGCACACCTCAAGTTTTCGCCACCATATTTAGGGTTGAAAAGTCCAACATGTTTGCATCCGTTGGATAAAAATTTTAAAAAATAATAAATAAATATATCTTTCACTCACATTTTTTTTTTGGTACTCTTTTTTAAATTTTTATTTAAATTCATAATTAAAACACAACTTAAATACATGAGCTTGAAATGTTTATTTGCTGTGTTTCTATTTTCTTTATTTCTATATTTTTCATATTTTCTAAATAAAAATACTATAGAAGAAAATAATTTTTTAAAAATAACTTTTTAAGTATTCCATAAGCACTGAGTTATTTTTCGAAAAAATTTAAAAACTATTTTGAAGAACAACTTGCAAAAAAAGTAGTGCTCTAAAAAATAAAAATAAAAATAAAAAACAAAAGACAAACACAACCCAACATAACATTACACAGGTTATCCTTAATTCTATCCAATAATCTACTCGAAATAGGGCCACAGTCATCTTCCCAAAATGTTTCACCTCTCAACATACAAATCTCCTGGAGTAATGAAACTCAAAGCAAAATGAACACCAAAAAAATTTAAGACTTCTTTTTCTCTCTACATTGATACACCTCATCTTTTTACACAAAACAGAACTTACTACAACGTTCGTCCCAAAGAGTACCAAATGAAGATTACTAAACAAATGAAACAAAAGCAAGTATTAATCTACATTTGCAAGACAAAATGATCACTCAATTCCATCAGAGTCCTCGTCAAATAAAAACAGGTATGGAACTGAAGGTGCATTTCCACTAACTTCTCCTTCCTCATCCTCAATGGTAATCCCAGAAACTTTCCAACCCAAATGCTGCATTTAAACTTTGTCATAGGCTTCAATATTCAAACCCGAAGCTAGAAACAGTTCCACCTCATTTACAAACCGATCGGTTCTTCTGATTAAGAAAGGTGTTGCTGCTTGAGAAACCAAGGCCTTGAAATGTTCTTGTTTTGCTTCGGCCGTGGTTGGAGACTTTTGGTCATTTCTAAAACATAAGTGTTAGGTGTAAATTCATGTAACACAAAAAAATATTACCTATTTTCCCTTTTTCTTTTTTGGAATTCTTACAAGTTTGAACGGAACCCTTTTCACATTTAATTTAGAGAGTCAAAAAAATATGTGAAGTGCAATAATCGGCTTGGGCTCCATAATCAACCCATATTTCCAATCATATTTCTGTGCAAAAAATAAATAAATAAATAAATAAAATTGGTGTTACCTTCTGAATGAGTCAATTACACCAAGTATGTGTTGAATGATAATTTCAACATCTTCCTCCTGCATATGAAGAAAAGAAGGTAATTACAAAGTTGTTTGAAGCAACATTCAACTCATAAGCAAAATGCACATATTCAGTGGGTACTCGCAAAGTTTGCTCTAATTTTGAAAATGATATCAAATTAATAAAGACTTCAAAACAGTCAAAATCAGAACAAAAAACCAGAAATCTTGAAAAAAGGATTCACCAGCATTTGGATTCATGTTTGCCAGATAACAAAATTTCGGACATTGATGTGAATGAGGCATGTAGTATATGATTCCGATGTTGGCCTGATAATAAGTTAGTAGATTATTGTACAATACTAGATGATATGAATATTGTCAGAGAGCTTGATTTGCATTGTTGGGTCACTTTACTGACAACTTAAGATTTTGGGACTCAGGAGGATTTCATGTTATGTGAGGTCTCAGGTTCAAATTTTTTTGTTCGCATTTGCTTTCCCACTCACATTGTGTTTTGATGTTTCTCCATTTGTTTTCCCGTTCAAAAAAAAAAAATCAAATATAAGTGGAAGATGAAAATTTGATGATCGCATAACCCTGAATTAAAGCTTGAATTTCCCTTCTCAACCAGGTTTGGAGCCACTAATTCGGCTGAAGATACTAACAAGCCTTCCAATACCGTGATACTATGAATTTATCATTTAAGGACCTTAAGGTAACTGTTTAACACACAATTTACAAAAATCGATATTAATAAAGGTGGATTTATCAGGAAATAACATCAAAATTCAACAAGCAAACAGAATTAAAGATTCAAAATGATGAGCAACAGTATACCTGGTTCAATATAGTAGCACTGTAACCTATATTTGTGAGCTTCTGAAAAGAAAGCACTGCAGATGCAATGTATAAAAGTAACATTTTCAACTATGAAAGTCAAGCTGAAGCAAAGAAATCAATAGACCACAAATTACCTATTTCCAAAATCCTGATTAATGTAATGTCGTTCAAAAGAAGTTCCATCATATCCGTGAATGATAGAAAAATCTGTCTGCATATTATGCATATAATAGGATTAATTTTGACTGAAATTCTAAACAGTTCAAAAGGAAAGATTGGAGACATAGAATAGTTAAACTAACGAATAGAGATTAATCAATACAACTAGCTTTTATGATTAGGATATGATTTTATTTACTTTTATAAGATTATCAAGTGAAAGGTTAGCCCCAACTTAAGATGCCTAATTCACCTACGTGGAACCAAACGGACCACCAACATATGGATTTGTTGATCCTGCGGATCCTTACATTCCGCTACAAATATTTCACTTCTGAATTCACAAGGTTGACTTTTGGGAAGGGAAATGCAGTGGATAGGACTTTCTCCAAGAGTGCTGGCATTAGTTTACTGCATAGTAGAAATTGCAGAGTTTTTATTTTTTTTTATTTTTTTAATAAATATATTAGAGTGTCTTTCCTATAATGTAAGTGTTTATTGGATGATTTAATTTTTTATGCCTTAAGAGACATTTGTATGTGAGCTGCATTCTCAAAAAATGTTGGACATCGCTCTTGCAAAGAGATTCAAAACACAAGACATGTTACCATGTGAGGTATCCGAGAAACGTCCTCAAAGTGTCATAAATTATAAAATTACGACACATTCAAGAAGTTCTAGAATGTATCTAGAAGTGCTTGAGAAGTGTTGGTGTCCATTATTTTCCCAATATGGACTTGTTTCCCTGCTAGAAATGTTTGTGCTACCAAATATAAATTTGCCTTTCTCTTAGTTCTCATCTAACAAGATATTAAAGCTTTGACATTGAACCCTTATCCCTAACTTGTATCACGGGTAAACTTATTAAAGCAAGATAAAAAAAATATTTGGATCTGATCATGTATGGTGTTTACTTATGATATATCTTATTCGGTAAAACCAGGGTAGGGGTCAATTAGAACCACCAAGAGAGACTTTGGGCTCCAAGAATGCTAACATAGGCAAGACTAAGACAACCTGCCTTTCTTCTTTATATAAGTAATAAATGGCAAGATTAAGATGACACATGCATAAATTTAGTAAAACTATTAAGAAAGCCACCAAAAAAAAAAAAAACAACAACAAAAACAAAAACAAAAACAGAAACAAAAGAGAGGAATATTCAATTTAATGGGCATTAGATACCGAAGGTGACATTACAAAAGGGTGGACACAAAATTAAAGCAACGTTTCTACAGTTTTATAGGATCAAATAATACTTATTAAATAGCTATTCAAGGTTTAAGGCCACGTTAAGGTGCCAAGATCTCCTTACACTGTGTTTGGTTGGGGGATTTGGGAAGGGATTTGGAAATGGAAAGGGAAAAAGTGTGTAAAACTAAGTGAAATGTAGGTATATCTTATTCACATTTCACCTACTTTTTCCCTTTCCTTTTCCAAATCCCTTTTCAAATTAAAGTTCAAGTGGAAGGTGTTGCAATAAGGTGTGAGATTGAGTAAAGTAAGGCGCATGTATAATTAAAAAATATATTAGGTATACATACAGCAGCATGATTCATAATAGGCAACACAACTAACTATTCACAAATCCTAGTATAATTAGAGAAGATCCTAGAGGGTTCTCACTTGGTGTAAAATGAGTCACTCTAGTTTTGCCCCTAATGAGCCCAAGGATATTATTAACTAAGATATCAAATTCACAAACAAAATGAGAAATAAAAGCCCTTACACCAAATTAATGTAAATGTAGAAGCACAATATAACAAAAACAGACCTTGCATAGAGGACACTTAACAGAGGAAGGTGCGCAAGAGAGCTTGTTAGCAACCACTTTGGTCCAATGTACAATGCAATTGTAGCAAAACTTATCTGCAATAGAAAAATAGTATGGTTCATTTACGTTGTGTTTGGTTTGGAAATTTGAAAAGAGAAAGGGAAAAAGTGTGTGAAATTAGGTGAAATATAGGTATATTTTATTCACATTTTATCTACTTTTTTCTTTTCCCTTTCCCTTTCCCTTTCCAAATATCTCCTCAAATCTCCCAACCAAACACAGCGTATGAATGTTTACAATTTTTTGTTACATCTGTTGCATGGTGAATTTTCTTTTTGGTACATCAGAAATGAATCTATTACACAGTGAATGTTGTATATTATTATGAGTCCATTCCAATGTGTTGAATGTAGCACCTTTCATGGCTCTTTTGAAACCAATGACAACATTTTACTTTTGAGCAAAAGGGAATAACCATTTCCATTCGAATTAGCACAGGAATAACCATTTGGTTTTGGGTTTTTTTTTTATTTTTTCCACTAAAAGGCAAAGTTTTTGCAAAACCAAAAAAAACAAATCCAAACAAAATATCACATCCATATCCATAATCATTTCACTTTTTCTCTCACAAACATCACATACAACCACAAAAAAAACCCGACTATCTTCCCAAATACCAAAAATTTTTTAGCCAATAATATCCTACAACTAAAAAAACCTAGCTAAAAACTCACTTCCCAAACACCCACTCACACCAATCACAGCAGAGCAAACCCTCTTCAGAGACTAAAAAAACCCAGAACACTTGTTTGGCAAATTGTTTATGAAAATGATGGGTATTTTAAAATATTAAAAAAAACATTTTTTTTCTTCTTGGAAACACACAAAAAATGAAAACGAAAACTATAGTAAACATGCCCAAAAATACAAAACCCAAAAACAGAAGTTGTGATTCTCAATCTACAATAGCTTAAAACCTTGCAATTTCAGTTTGTTTCTATGAGTAGGGGGAACAATAAATAGATCTCTGACTAATAATTTCAAAAAGAAGCTTCAAATTCACCAATTATTAAGTTAGAAATGAGAGAGAGAGAGAGAGAGTATGTACAGAAACATTGACCAAATAGGATTCTTGAAGAAGAGGTCCGAGACAGATAGGACATGGTTTCGAGGACGATGAAGACTGCTCGTCTTCTTCAGCCATAATACTATCAACGGAACTGCTACGTAGCTCGAATTGTCGAGCTCAAAATTGGCTCGAATCCAATTTCAAAAGCAGAGAAGGAGAAGAGAAGGAAGGAGGAGGAGAAGGAGGAGGAGAAGGAGGGGGCATAATCACAGAGGGAGAGGAGGAGGAAGGAGGAAGGGGAGGGGCTCGGCCGACAACAGTGGTGCTGCGACGAAGGGGAGGGGCTCGGCGGGACCGGAGGCGACGGCGGTGGTGCTGCGACGATCGCTGGTGCTACGACGAAGCGGAGGGGCTCGGCCGACGGCAGAAGCGGAGGGGCCCTCTCTTCTCTCCATTCCCTCTTCCCCTCATCTTTCTCTTCTCCTCTCTTCTTCCTCTCTTCTCTCCCTATTTCTCCTCTGTTTCAGACCACCCAAAACGCCCAAAACGACATTCAAACCAATTTCGAGCCAAGATTTTCGAGCTACGGCTCATTTTCCTACTATCAAATTGAAAGTAGACGAGAGAGAGAGAGAGAGAGAGACTGTTAATTCATTAATATAAATTAAAGATTATATGATGGTAGTGATTCATATCATATTAAATTAATATAAATTAAAGATTATATGATGGCAGTGATTCATATCATATTAATAGTTAATAAATTTTTCATTTATATTTGATTTTTTTTAAAATTAATCTCCGATTCTTAGTATTTTTTTTTTTTTAAATTTCATTTCTTTGTTAGAAAATATGATCTATCTCCTCCGAATAACTAATTATTTGGGAGATTTAAAAAATTACTAATGATTAAATGTGATCATTGTTGAAAAGTTCAAATTAAGAAAAATATAAACTATTAGTTTTAGAAGACATTTTATTTTTAATTTTATTCTCTTAATTTATCGGTTGATTTTTTGTTGACTATTTGTTCAAATTTATATCTATCTATTTAAATTATTTTTCCTATCTGTTCAAAATTTTTCCTATCTATTTAATTCTTTTCCCTTATCTGTTGAAATTATTTGTTAAAATTATCTCTATGTTCAATTTTTTTCTTATCTATTTAAATCTATTTGTCTAAATTTTATTATTTGTTCAATTTTTTCCCTGATTTTTTCTTATTTGTTGAACCTATCTCTTTACTTGTTTTTATCTGTTGGAGGTCTGATTTGTTAAAAAAAAAATTAAATCTGTGCAATTGTTCTTGTGTTATTTGTTTAAATTATTTTGTTCTTGTAATTTTTTTTTTAATCTATCTGTGTTGAACAGGTTACACATAGTTATTGTAATGTGTTTCATCATCATCAACCTCAACCTCAACCTCCAACTACAACAATATCAGGTCTAAACACACATTTAAAAATAATAATAAAAGAAAGGTCTGGGAGAGAGAAAGAGAGAGAGATGTTTTATTTTTGGTCTCCTCAATTTGTCCATCTTTTCTCTCTCCCAAAATCAAACCCAATCTCATTGAAATCCTAACAAAAAAGAGGAACAATTATAGAAGAGAGAGAAACAGTGAAAAATGTTGAGAATTGTAGAGAGGAGGCTGTTGTCTCTTTCATGGAGGTCTGCTAAGACATTATCGTTATCAACCTTCATCGCTAGAAATGAGAGAGAGAGAGAGAGAGAGCTCTCTTGTTCCATTCTTTCTAGCAATCTTACAAAACCTAGTGTAGACGACATCAATCTCACAATATTGTTAGACATTGTTGATGGATTTCCAAGTGAAGGTGTCGCCGCCGTGGACATGAAGATGAGAAAAAGAGAGAGAGATCTGACCATGAAAATTTTTAAATTGAATTTAGGAGTGGTTTTTGAATTCTGATGGGACTTTTGTCCCTTTGTCAAAATGTGAACCGTTAGATTGATTTAATCCAACAGCTAAAAGAGACAAATACATTTTCTCATTGTGTTTATTCTTCTCTTTCATTCATCTCTCTTTTTCGTTCTTTCTCATTCAAAATTTAAAATTGAGTTGTCTTCCTCGTCTCTCACTCTCAGAGCTCACTCTTCATCTTCAATCTCCCCAGAAGATCGGCGACTTCGCAGATGGAGAGTTTGTTGGGTGCTAGCCTTGCTAGATCGATGGGTCCAAATCGGCGATATCGCGACAACAAATCGGTGGGGTTCTCCAAAATCTTGACTGTATTTGTTCATTCCTCATGAGGTTCTCCAAAAAATTTTGGCGCTTTACATACCAGCCCTTTGAAACTAACCTTAAGTCAGTTTTTCTCTCTCATTATGGGTGATTAGTAGCCAGATTAGTAAGTTTTCTTTGTGTGTATATATATTGATTACAGATTTTTTTTGTTTTTTGTCTTTGAAGCCATAGAGATCATCAAATTGTGAGTATTGTTTTTCTTTAATTTTGGGTACACTTTTATGGGTTTTGTTGATTTTTCTTATACAGATAATATATGCACACATACATGAAGAGTTGGTTAGGTTTCACGAAACCCATTTACTTTGATTTAGTAGGAATTTGTGCAACTATTGTATTGAGTTACTCTATTGAATGGTTGTTGTGCCATTACTATCATTTGGTTGTTACCAAAATGTTCGACAACCATTCTATATTCCTTGCTTATTAAGTGTTTGATAAAATGTTTCAATGGAATTTACACACAACAATCCAGTTGATTTTGTGGAGAAATAGGAATCATCCCAATAATTTTTTAACTTGCTTTTGGATGATGGGAATCTTCTCTTGATTTCTACTTCTGAGTCTGTGTTCTGTTATTTTTTTGCGATTTTTCTATGTGGGTTTTCTGAGTTTAGGTTTAAGTTGCAATGATGTTGTGTATATTTTTTCTTTGTTAGGAATAGAGATCATTTCTTTAGTTGCATTTAGCCGAACCTTTCAGATTCACTTTTCTAAATCTATACCTTTCAGATTCATTTTTCTAACACCTATAAAATTTTCATGACACATAAGCATCCAATTTTGCTATAGAATTGTTGGTTATCTTCTTCAACATTACATTTGGTCAGGTAACTAATTGCAAATTTTGCTAGAAAGTTGTGGCGGTTGTTTTTGATGGTCAAATTTTGGATGTTCTGTAAAATGCCTTAATTAAAATAGTTTATTTTCTTATATGATTATACTTTTTTGTTATTCAAATAGTGAGTAAATCTATCAAGCCAAGTAAATGACTAAACAACCTTTCCTATAGAGAGTTTGATTAACCATGCTTGAATGCACTTAGTGCTCGTAATGTGAATGTCCTAATTGATCAAAGTTATCTTATAGTTTATTCTACATCCCCTACCCCTCCCCCCCCCCACACACACACACAAAATAGTGAGTGAATCCATCATAGTTTATTCTACATTCCCCTCAAATAGTGAATGATACATGCCTTGGATATTTGGTAAGGTTAACAAAAATATAGGTATATTCAAATTGGTGAATCAATCAATAGGAGTTGGATCATATTTTTAATAATAAACACTGGGCAATTTTTAGGGAGTTGATTTTAGATAATGAATAATGGAGCTTGCTTGCTTATATTTTTTATTCTTCCTTTTGCTTCCGGTACATATGCCTTGGCTTGAAGGTGTGTTTGATTAGCTCATAAAAAGTTATTATGTCTTTGTTTGCTACAATGGTTGATTAGGTAATTGGTCTGCCTTCCATTGATGGATTTGTCAAAAATTTGTTGCTTATCTATTGTTTAACTTGGCTTCATTTTACATGTTGTGAAAATTAAGAATCTTAAATTTTTACTAGCTGGGCTTCATTTTATATGTTGGCTATCTTCTAAATTATTAGCTAGATGCAATTTATATTTTTTGTTCAGAGACGGTAGAGAAGCAAGAACCAAGAAAAGTGAGTACTTGATTTTTTTATGCTAATAATTTGGGTCTTCTATTTTAATTTTTGAATTCCATACTATTTTGATGATAATCATTGTGACAATTTTTACTGTAATTTTAAAAATTAGCATTGTTTAGAATACCTTTATGTTTGATTTTATTGTTTTTCAAAAACAAGATGTTTTAGTTTGTTTTGATTAGACTTGAAAATTCAAGTTAGACAATGAATGGAAGTGTTGTGTGGGTCTACTAGTGAATGTTTCAAGAAATGGAGAGCAATGGCACAACGGCCCATTTAACAAAGAACCTTTTTTTTTCTTCACAATTTTTGAAGTTTATTTATTGAGTTTCTTTTTATTGGAATTTTTCTTCTTGATAGGTAATTTTGGGGGTGGAAGAGAAATTTAGATTATATTGATTCAATAGAATAACTTTGCCTATTACTTTTTTCACACCCTATAACTCTACCAGTGCTTATAATCAATTAAAATTTTAATTTTAAAACTTAGACACTGTAGGCACAATTGTATATTCATTTTAAAATAGATGTGACAAAAAATGTGGTTATAATAAATTAAATTTTTGATTGGATGGGTTAGAGTCAATTTTTTTTCTTCTTCTTCCCTTTACTCCTGTGACTTTTAACTCAATATATTTTTGTTTCATTGGGTGAAAACCGTCTATTATTTTTTACAGGAGCTAAGTCTATACTTTCCTTTCTTTCTTTCTTTCTTTTTTTTTCCTTCTTCTTTTCCTCTCATTTTTTATTTTACTTTCAGAGTGAGGATTGTAAGTTCTGATAAAAAATAAAACAAATTATGCTTTCAGCTTTGCCAGTTAAACAATGCAGAGACTGGCTCAATGAGGTCTAGAAAGAATTTGTAAAAAAAAAAAACAGTAAAGAGGTCTAGAGTAACAAAAGTTAGTTTTAAGCCAATTGGCAGTTTTGATTTTCTTCAAATATTTGGTTTTAGAACTACATTAATTTAGTAGACTATCTATGTTATTAGTTAGTCATCTTGGAGTAATGAGTGATGGCATAAACTTACTTTATGCTTGAAACAGTTTAAACCTGCTTTATACTTTTAATTAGATAATGGTACCTCATAAGTGAAGAAGAAGGTGGTTTCACTTTCAACCCTTAATGTTTGTTTCAACTATTCACTTCTGTATTTATTTATTTTATT